TTCCTTCTTCCTCTTCCTCTTGTTGCCCTTGTCCGGCGCTCTTGCGGCGCCCTCCTTCTCCTCGCGCGCCATGCGTTCCTTGCACGTGTTGCAGTACCACGTCGTCGGCAGCGGCTTGGTGACGCCCACGCACGAGAGGTGAAACCATTCAAAGGGACACGCGTCGGAGTCGCAGCCTATCATCTGGCGAGAAAGAGAGAGAGAGAGGGGATGGTCAGCGAAGAAGAGGGGCAGAGAGAGAAGGGGGGAAACAGGTACATACCTCGCCGAAAGAGACACGCTGGCAAGAGCAGTAGATCGTCTCGTCCTTCTCCGCCTCTTCTTCCTCCTCCACTCTAACATCCCCCTCGTTCCTGACCGCCGCTCCACTCGTTCCCGGCGCGGTCGCAGCAGTGGCGTTCGGGCGTTGCTGTTTCCTACTGGCACCCGTCGGTGTACTGGGCGTGCCCGCACGTGCAGCAGCAGCCAAGGAGCTCGAGCCTCTCACGAGCGGCGGCATCTCCTTCTTTCCGGGCGGCGCAAAGGGCGAGGAGTGGCGCGAGGCAGAGGCGGAAAGCGCCGCGGCGGCAATGTCGGCGAGGGAAGTCGAAAGGCCGGACAGCACGGGTGCAACGCCGGGCGTGAGGACGCCGCCGACGCCCAGGAGATCACTGGAAGCAGAGGAGCCCGCCGGCATGCTGCTCGCCACGCTGGCAATCAGCGCCGGCGAGATCTTGTCAATCTCGCCCTGCAGCCGCTTGTGGTGCGCGTGCACGGCGCGCCAGAGGCCCACTGCGGCCTCCTCCTTGGCCGCACTCCACTCGTCGGCACGCCGATAGTCGGCGCGGATCTTGTCGGCCAGCTTGTCGGCCTTGATGCGGTCGGCTTCGGAGAGCACGGGCGCGGCGGAGGCGGCGGCGCTGCCTCCTGCTGGCCGCGCGAGAAGCTCGCGCAGTGCCGTCTCGCGCGCGGCCAGCTTGCCCAGCAGCTCTGCAGTTGAGGCCAGACGCGTCAGACGCTGGCCGCCTCGAGAGAGAGGGACGGGTTGCACGGCCACGCCACACGCACCGTGCAGCTTGGCATCCTTGTGCTGGATCTCGCGCACGCGATGCGCCACCTCCTGCGGCAGGTTGTCGAGGCTGTGCAGGAAGTCGACGGCCAGCGCGGCAATCTCGGCGGGGTCGTCGAGCGTCGCGGCGGCGGCGGTCGGCATGGCGCCAGCGTGCCGGTGCTGGTGAGGCGCGACGCGGGGGGAACAGGAGGAGGTGGTGGAGCTGCAGCAGGCGGCGCGGCCGGCGCCGCATCTGACAAGCTCAGCCGGGGCGCGTGGGAACAGAGGAGTCGCGCAGCCGGCCCACTCCAGCCCCGGCCGGCCAGACGCCCTCACATGTCACGTGCTGCACCTGCCAATTTCCTGAGCCGGCCGCCGCGCGGCGTGCGGCGCACATCTTCGCGCCGTGCAGCTGGGCAGCAGCGGGCGGCCTTGCGCTTCTCGCTTCTCGACGACGTCGCCGCTGCCCACTCTCACCGCCTTCCGCTCGCTCTCGCGCTCCTCAGCAGCCCTTCGCTCGCTGCTTGCACGCTCGTTGCGCGCTCCTCTCCGCCCGCCTCGCACCCACCCGCCGTGCTCGCCCAGCATGGTGCTCGTCCTCTTCGAGACGTCCGGTGCGTCTCGCCTCGCCCCCCTCTCCGCGCCGCCCCCACTCACGCTTCACACAGTGGGCTTCTGTCTTTTCCGTCTTGCCCAGCCGGGCGCGCTCTCGTCGGGCGAGCTACACAAGCAGTTCGACTCGGCCGAGAGTGCCGCCGCGCTCATCAAGCTCAGTGCCATCCACCGCTTCGCCTCGACGGCCGAGGCGGTGGAGGATGTGGCGGCGCTGGGCGAGGGCAAGATGAGCAAGGGCCTCAAGAAGTTCCTCACAAAGGAGGTCGTCGAGGCCAAGCAGAAGGAGGAGCTCGTCGTCACGGACCCCAAGCTGGGTGCGTCGCGGTGGCATGCATGGACACGTCTGTCTCTCACCAGACTGACCCCCCCTTCTCGCAGGCGGCGCCATCGCAAAGAAGCTCGGCATCACCGTCGTGTCCGACTCGTCCGTGCTGGAGCTCTATCGCGGCATCCGCACGCACCTGGCGCCGCTGCTCTCGCTCGGCGCCGGCGAGGGCGCCTCGGCGTCGGGCTCGCTGGACCCGCGCGACCTGAGCACCATGAGCCTCGGTCTCTCGCACTCGCTCAGCCGCTACAAGCTCAAGTTCTCGCCCGACAAGGTCGACACGATGGTCGTGCAGGCTGTGGGCCTGCTTGATGATCTCGACAAGGAGCTGAACATTTACGCCATGCGCGTCAAGGTGAGTGGTGCGGCAACGAGCACGGGGGGTCGGGGCGAAGCGAGGCCAGGAGGAGGCCATCGTCGGCAGAGCCCATGCCACACAGCTCGACGTGTGCTAACGGCGCCGCACAGGAATGGTACGGCTGGCACTTCCCCGAGATGGGCAAGCTCATCACCGACAACTTGGCCTACTCCAAGTGTGTGCTTGCGATGGGCTTCCGCACCTCGTGCAGCACGACGGACTTTGCCGAAGTGTTGCCCGAGGAGCTCGAGGAGACGCTCAAGGCGGCGGCCGAGATCAGCATGGGCACCGAGATCAGCGACACGGACCTCAGCCACATTTCCAGCCTGGCGGAACAGGTCGTCAAGATTGGCGCATACCGCGCGCAGCTCTGGGCCTATCTGCAGGCGCGCATGGCAAACATTGCGCCCAACCTCACCGCCCTCGTCGGCGAGCTCGTGGGCGCTCGTCTGATCAGCCACGCCGGCAGCCTCATGAACCTCGCCAAGCACCCTGCCTCGTGAGTCGCGCTGCACCATCGCTCCCTGCTGCGCACACGCTAATGCTAGGCTCGGACTCGCAGCACGGTGCAGATCCTCGGCGCCGAGAAGGCTCTCTTCCGCGCGCTCAAGACCAAGCACGACACGCCCAAGTACGGTCTCATCTACCACTCGTCGCTGGTGGGCCAAGCGCCTCAGAAGCTCAAGGGCAAGGTGCGTCGTGCTGATGACCTTGCACTGCGGCGAGGCAATGCTGACCCTCTTGCCTGCACAGATGGCACGCATGGTCGCCACCAAGGCCGCGCTCTCCATCCGTCTCGATGCACTGGCTGACGCCGAGGCCGAGCCGACGCCTTCCATCGGGCTCGACTCTCGCGTCAAGCTCGAGGCGCGACTGCGCGGCCTCGAGACGCGCTCTGACGTGCAGGGTCTGCGTTCCGGCGCCGGAGCAGGCGCCAAGCAGAGCGCCTACTCTGCCGGCACTGCGCGTGGCTACAACGCCGCGGCAGACGCCCCCGCCACACCAGCCAAGAGCACCGTGCCGGATGTGTCGGCCATGGACGTCGACTCTCCTGCGCCCGCGGCAAAGGAGATGAGCAAGGAGGAGAAGAAGGCGGCCAAGAAGGCACGCAAGAGCATGGAGGCGGCGGCTGCGCCGGCAAGCGTGGCGTCGGCATCCGTGCCGCCGGAGAGTGAGGCGGAGAGCAAGCTGAGCAAGGAGGAACGCAAGGCCCTCAAGAAGGCTGCCAAGGCCGCCGCTGCTGCAGCCAGCTCTGGTGAGTCTCGCACGATCGCACGTCCTGCTCCATGTCCGCTTGGCTCACCGTGACCCGCTTCGCAGCACCGCCAACGCCGGCACCCGCCGCTGCCGCCGCTGCCGTGCCGGCAACGCCCGCGAGCGAGAAGAAGGAGAAGAAGGACAAGAAGAAGCGGTCCGCCGACGAGGCCAATGGAGAGCAGGGCACGCCGAGCGAGAAGAAGAAGAAGAAGCGGCACTCGGAGGCATGAGGGCGTGACGGCCTGTGCGCCGCCCTCGTTTCCCGCCTCGCATCTAGATCATTCACCTGCTCCCCTCCCCTCGCTTCTCTGTGTCTCGTACGGTTGTCGCTTTATTCATCTGTCTCTCATGACTCGTGGACAAAGGAGTGATGGCGTGCTCGAGGTTGTGAGATGACGGCGGAGAGAGAGATAGAGACAGAGGGAGAGAGAGATAGGGGCAGGACAGCTAGCAGCAGCCAGACCTGATCTGCTGCTGGAGCAGGCTGACTCAGAGAAGAGGCAGGCCGAGCAGAGGGCACAGGGCATGGAGGAAGAGGCCTGGTGCTGCTGCTCATGCTCAGCCTCAGGCATAGGAAGAGGAGAAGGAAGGGAACGTTCTGGCCTCTCGATAAGGGCTTCGATCCTCAGACAAAGGAGGCCCGACCTCAGTGGTGATGAGTCTGGCAAGAGGTCTGTGCTCCTGCTAGCTCTTGCTCTGCACCTCTGCTCTCTGCCTGCTGCTCCTGAGCCTCCCCTGCTACCTCTGCATGCTGCTCTGCTGAGCCACTCTGTCTCTTGTCCTCAGGGGAGATCGCGCCCTCACCATTTTATCGTCCTCCTTCGCGCAGGAAAGCAGCCGAGGCCGCTACGGCCCGTGCACGTAGCGCATGAATCTGCAAGCGACCTCCGCCTGTGCCCAGCCTGTACCAAGCCTGTAGCTTACCTTTCTGGCCGGAGCGAGTAGAGCACGGCTGCTGAGGTGCTGCCCTCGCTGAAGTCGGAGTGGCGCTTGGTTCGCTAGCGATCGAGAAAGAGGAGCAGTCGGAGGCGGCGGCGGCGGCGCGAAGGCGCGCTGCAGAGTCGATCAGCGCGGCAACGGCGGCAGCGGCAAGGGCGGCGCGCGAGGCCTCGCCGCACGCCTTTGTCCCTGAGCAACGAATGAGCGAGGTCGAGTGCTCGGGCCGCTCGTCATCAGTCGCCGCGGCCGTCAGCAGCCCGCCGGCAGCAGCACCAGCAAAGGGCGCTCGCCTGATGCTGCTGTGCTGCATCTGCTGCCGTCAATCAGCCTCAATCAAGCCCTTCAGGGATCTGACCAGCAAGTGCCGAGCCGAAGTGCCGTCGCTGCCGCGAATTCGCGGCTGGCTGATGAAGCCTCGCCCGCGCCGGCGCGCGCCGGCGCTCGCGCAGCCGCCTGCCCCACAGCCGCACGCGCGACGCACTCACGTTGCCTCGAAATGGCGCCTGCTCCACACGACATCGAGCGCCGCACTTGTCTCTTTGCTCCCGCCCTCATCCCCTCGCACGTCGCGTCCAAAACGGTTCCTTTTTAGACCATGCCGGTTCTTCACATCAGCCGCTTGCCGCGCGACCAGCGCCAGCGCGACTGCAGCGACGTGACCACGCCGTCACCCCTCCAGCTCTCTCGACAGCAGTACGAGGAGCTCATGGCCCAGCTTCACCGCTGCTACCCGCTGCGCATGGGCACTTTGGGCGCCGCGCTACGCGCGAGCCAGAGCTTCAATGGCAGTCAACAGGAGAATGCAGAGAAGGAGAAGGACGTGAGTGTGACGCTGGGAGCAGTGCGACGCCGAGAGGAGTGCAAGCTGCTGACGCCATCATTGTGCTTGCAGCTGCTGCTTTGGGCCTTCGCCTCACGCCCTGATCCTCGGCGCGCCAGCGTGTTCCACCTTGACGTTGCTCGCCTCGCTGAGCTTGTCGACATCGAAAACGGCGTCGAGTTCATCATCCCAGAAGGCAGCAACTCGGCCGCACCTCAGCCGCCCGCCGTCGTCGTCCCTCTACCTGCGCCTCAGTCCGTCGTCGCTCCGCCCGCCGCGCAGCCTGCCGCTCCGCAGCTGGCCGGCGGCATTCAGCCCTTCGTGCCCGCGCCTGCGCCTCGCCCACCCGAGGACTCCGAGTCGGACTCCGAGTCCGACGAGCTCAGCAGCACGCAGGTGTCGTCGTCGATGGCCTCAAGCCGACGACCTGTGCGCAGGCGCACGTCAGCCGTCAAGCCGGGCAAGCCAAGCGCCGCGCCAGCAGTGCGCGCCGCCGCCGTCAAGCGACAGCGTCGCGTCGCACCCACGGTCGCCAAGCGTCAGGCTCAAGCGCTGAAGAAGGCAGCGCTCTCAGCCGCTCTTCAGCATGCTCAGCAGCCTGCCAGCGGCTCAGGCGGCGCAGGCTCAGCCACACCGGACGCAGAAGCCGCTCCGATGCTACCCAGCAACACCTCGTCCGTTGGTGAGATGATGCGCATCCTCGCAGCTATGGGCTGTGGCATAGGCTGCGCTGCCAGCCTCGTCGATGACGACGAGCCAGACATTCAAGGGCTGACTGCAAGAGATCGACGCCAACTGCGCAACGAGCGCAAGGCGGAGGGCTACCAGCGCTACACCTCGGACGGCACCGTCAACGTGAAGCGCGCCGTCGGCGTGCTGTGGAAGCTGTCGCATGCCGTGCTCAAGAAGGACCAGAGCCAGCTGCACGCCTCGACGCGCGAGGTCATCAAGCAGGAGCTCTGGCTGCGCAGCGAGGGCGGACCGTGCAGCCTCGAGCGGCTCATCTACTTTGTGCTGGCAGCCGTGCACGATCGCAACGAGCAGCTGCTCTCCCGCTTCGACAACCTGCTGCTGAGCGACGACAAGATCAAGGTCGTTGCCAACGGCCTGCTCAAGCTCGTGATTGGCGCCGGCACGCTCGCCATCCTGCCCGTGCTCGCCGCAGCCAGCTTCCGTCAGACACGTCTCTGCCAGCTCTCCTTCACGGCACACTACAAGTGGCTGATGCGCTTCAATGGCTCGTCGTATGGCACGGAGCTGGATGAGCTGCGCGACACGTTCCTTCTGCCTGTGCTGAGCAAGATGCACGAGTTGCTGCCGCAGGAGTGGATCTGCCTGTCGGAGCGCATCAAGCTCAGCCATCACACCGTCTTCGGCGCCGCCGTCGTCAAGGGCGAGATGCAGAGCTACGCGCAGGAGTACCAGGCGTGGTACAACCAAGAGCCTGGCGCGCGCAAACCACTCCGCCCGGACCACACGCCATGGCGCCTCTACGGCGTCGACGCTCCCAACGCGCTCTATCGCCCTCTGGTGTCGCACAGCGCCGTAGCCGTCCTCGACGGCGAGAGCGCGCTTCAGCTGCCCTACAAGCACCTGGGCCTGGACAAGGTGTTCAACCCGGAGACGCGGCCCATCGAGCCGCTGCCCTTCCCCGAGCGCAGCACCTACAAGCTGTCAGTGCGCATTCTCGTGCAGCATGAGCTCGTGCAGCCGCAGCAGCCGCCGCAGCCGCAGCCGTCGTCGGCGTCGCAGAGGATGCCGCCTCCAGCGCCGCCGGAGTCAACTCGCGCCTCGTCGCCCGCACTCAGCATCAGCGAGTCTCTCGCGTCTCTCGCCCGCAAGCGCATCGGCTCGAGCAGGCTCAACCCTCTGTTCCGCTAGTTGCGCTTCCATCCCGCTCTGTCTCGCTCCGTCTCGACGACGATGTATCCTAGCCTCCAGCCTGTCTCACCGCTCCAGAACTGATGACTGATGGCCTGACATTGCCTCTTCGAAGCGCACAACTGCCTCGCTCACGCCTCACTTGCGGTAGAACTGGCGCTGGAAGTTGACTGCGAGAGGACAGGTCAGGTGTGAGAGGGCAGCGGGCATCGCATGTCGATCGCGACGCACAGTATAGCTGCATGACGCCGCGGTCGAAGCTGGCGCGGAAGCCTCGCCGATGCGACTGATTCCACGGCTTGTTGACTGCAGCAGAGGGAGCACGTCAGGGGGCAAGGCGAGCAGCGCGACACGCGAACGACGCACCGATGCGGAAGCCGATGTCCTCGTACGGCGGGCCGGCCGTGAAGATGATGAGCGCCGTGTCGGGGTCCTCGGGGTCCGTCTTGACGCGGTACGACGGCGCCTTGGTCTTGTCGATGAGGTCGGGGTAGAAGATGTTGAACTGGCAGATGGATGTCAGCGAGGAGCAGCGGATGTGTCGCGACAGCAAGCAGCGCACCTTGTACCCCTGCACGACCTTCGGCGGCGGATTCTCGACGCTGTCGTAGTGCGTCTGCGAGAGCGGAGTGAGCACAGCGAGAAGCCGACGAAGACGACGCACAGCGTTGCGCTGCTGCTCACCTGGTTGTAGCGGCTCCACTCGTAGCCCGTGTGCACGCGGTTGAAGTAGCGCGGCTTGCGCGGCCGGTACTTGTCCTCCCACTTGTAGTTGGTCTCCATGAGCTCCTCTGCCGCGTCGAAGACCTCCTCCTCGACGTCCATGTCTGCCGCCTGCTCCTCCTTCCACATCTGCAGCTCCATGTCCTCGCCCTTGACCTCGGCGTCTGCCGGCCGCGCGACCTGCTTGCGCGTGCGCGGCACAAAGGTGGCCTGCATGATGCGCCGGCGGGCGACGATGAGCGCGGCACGATCCTCATCCGGATCGGTCGTCTCGAGCTGCCGCTCCTCGTACGGCAGATCCTGCTGCAGGAAGCTGCGTGGCTCCATCGAGCTGTCCCACTCCGCTTCGAAGCTGCTCGCCGCATCGGCGCGCTGCGCGACGTCGGCATCGGCGCCGCCTCCGCGCTCCTCGGCATGCACGGCCTGGTCGTCCTCCATCTGCGCCAGCAGCTCCTCCTGCATGCGTTCGGCGTCCTTGCGCTGCTTCTTGCGCAGATAGTCGATGCGGTTGGCCAGCACGAGCTCGTGCGCGTCGCGCAGCTTGGCCTTGGCGCGCCAGACGACGATGGACTTGAGCAGGCCCTCCCAGTACTCGACGTCGATCATCTCGCCGGAGCGCAGCTTGGCGCGCACCTGGTCCTGCAGCACGACGAGCTGCGCGTGCGACTTGGACGACAACATGCTGTCCATCTCAGCCTTGACTGTCGGGTCGATGCGCGTCGACGGCATGGCGCCGGAGCGCTGCTCGGCTGCGAGACGCAGCTCGTCGAGCTTGTCGTCGCAAACAACGATCATAGACTGCGGGGTGCGTCAGCACGTGGGCGACAATAGAGTGCGGCAGGCCCACTCACGCGCCAGAAGTCGAGATGGCGCTCCTCCTTCTCCAGCGTCAGGTACATCTGGATGTCCTGGTGCAGCTCCTCTGTCTCTTCGAGCGTGAGGTTCTGCATGGCAGAGTCAGCATTAGCACAGCAGGCATCGCTGCAGAGACGCACCTCCAGGATCGCGTATGGCTCGTCGAGGTCGATCTCGAGGCCCGCCTCTTCCTCCTCCATCTCCTCGCCCTCCTTGCTGCTGTCTCGCGGCGTGGTCCACTTGAGGTTGATCTCGAGCAGGTCGATGGGCTTGGCGCGGTTCTCGCGCACGCGAATGGCGCTGCGCTTGCGGCTCTGCTCCAGGTGAAAGTCGTCCTCGCGCGCGACCCACTCCGACATGGCCGCCGACTCGGCCAGCCGAGCCATGCGCGCCTCTTCCTCTTCGCGCTGCGCTTGTTCAATCTCGCGCTCGGCACGCTTTTGGTTGAGGCGTGCGATCTCTTCCTGCGGAAGGAACGTGCGTCAGCTGCCAGGCAGGCCCCTCGCCGCCAGCCCTCGCAGCACGCACCTGCGCTTCCCGCCTCCTCTCTGCATCCCGGCGATCCGCCTCCACTCTGCTGATGCCCTGCTTCTTCTCCTTCTCCTCCTTCTTGCCCCACTTGAACCTGCTTCCCAGGTCGGCATCGTTGAAGGGATTGGCATCGGCAGCATACATCAGCGCCTCGGCGGCGACGGCTCGCTGCGCCGACGCCTCCTCTTCCTCGCGATACGCTCGCTTTGCGGCCCTGAAGCGCACGAGTCAGTAAGGGCTCGCTGCAGGCGCGAAGTCGCCGAGCGAGACGGCCGGCCGCTACGTCGCCATGGCATCTTCACCATCGGCACGTACGGCGTCAACTCGATCGTGCTCGGCTGGGCTTATCCCAGCGCTACCGCATCTGCTGCGACTCACTTGCGCTCCCGCTTGCGCCGTTTGCGCTCCTCGTCGTCGTCGGACGAGTCGCGCGAGCGCGCGCGGTCCTTGTCTCGCCGGCGAGAGCTCTCCGCGGCATCGCCCCTCTCGCGCGAGCGCGAGCGACGCCTGTAGCTGTCTCTGTCCCTGTCGTTCCTCTCGCGGCGATGCGAGGAGGACGACTCGTGCTTGCGGGCATCGCGGTCGCGCTCGTAGTCGCGCTCGCGGTCGCCGTCGCGGGCGTGGCGCGACGAGGAGCCGTGCGAGCGCTCGTGGCGGTGCGACGAGCGCTCAGGCGAGCGAGAACGCTTGGGAGAGCGGGAGCGTTCGCGCGGCATGGCGCAGAGTGGGGCTGAGCAGAGGAGCGAGTGGAGGGAAAGGAGGTCGGCGCAGTGAGCGAGGCTGGGTGTGCATGTCGGCGCGGCGCGCGCGCACGGGGGCGTGCTTATGTCAGCAGCGCGTCGCTCCCCACGGCGCCTCTCGAGGCCGGTGGAGGAGTGCCTCGAGGCCTCGCTCTGGCCCTCGCGCTTGCTTCCCGCCTCCATCCTCTCCCCCTCACGCCATGCCCAAGATCCGCACCTCGCGCACCGCGCCGCCGCCCGAGGGCTTCGAGGACATCGAGGACATCCTCGAGGACTACAACCGCGCCATGCGCGACGCCGAGAACGAGGACGGCGAAGGGAAGCGCAAGGCCGAGAGCCTGTGGGGCATCATGCGTATCAGCCACACGCGCAGCCGCTACATCTACGACCTCTACTACAAGCGCGAGGCCATCTCGCGCGAGCTGTACGACTGGCTCTGCAAGCAGGGCTACGCCGATGCCAAGTAAGTGGCCGGCGAGGAGGCGAGCAGCGCCTCGTGTCGGCGAGGATGCGCCTCGTGCCGGCAGCTGGCTCGACGGACAGGCGGGGCGTGCGTCTGGCTTGCTCTGCAGAGACGCGCTTCAGGCGCAGCGAGGAGTGCCAGATCCTGCTGTGCCACAGTTGCTGGTCTGTCTCTGTCTCGTCCCCGGCCAAGCACTCACGCGTCCGCCCTCAGTCTGATCGCAAAGTGGAAGCGAACAGGCTACGAGAAGCTGTGCTGCGTGCGGTGTATCCAGGCGCGGGTGCGTGGGCGTGTGTGTATACAGCTGGCAACGTGCTATCTCTGACATGCCTCCTCCGCAGGACATGGGCCATGCCGGCTCGACGTGCATCTGCAGAGTGCCAAAAAGCCAGATGCAAAAGGGGCAGATCGTCGAGTGCACACACTGCGGTGAGTGCGGTCGTGCTGGCGCGGACATGGTGCTGGCTTGGGCGTGCCCTGGCGCTGTTCAGCTACGTTTGCTGGACGCCCTGCTGACGCTCCAGCGACCCCAGGCTGCCGCGGCTGCTCATCGGCAGACTGAACGCTGGGCCACGGGCGAGCAAAACATATATCCTCTCCATCCCAGCGAAGCTCTGACTACAGGCCACACGAGACACGCGAGAGCAGCGCACATATGCAGGCTAGATGCATTACAGAGGCGGGTACGCAAGGACGCCGGCCTCACTTGCCAAAGGTGAACGTCGGCACGCTCTTGGCCGGCTGTGCAGCGCCAGGCGCTGGCGCCGAGAAGGTGAAGCCGCCGCCGGCGGGAGGAGCACTGGTTGCTGGAGCGGCGCCGAACGTGAAGGGCGAAGAGGCGGCTGCGGGCTTCGCTGGCGCGGCTGTCGATGCTGATGCTGCTGGCGCAGCTCCAAAGGAGAATGCCGGCTTGCTCTCGGCGGCTGGCGCGGCAGAGGAAGCTGAAGCAGGGTTCGGCGCCGCGCCAAAGCTAAAGCCCGAAGAAGCAGGCTGAGACGTAGTGGCGGCAGCCGGAGCAGCTGTCGATGAGATGTGCGCTGCTTGGCTTGATGGCGTAGCGCTGCCTGAGGCACCCGCGCCGCTGGCCTCGGCGCCGAAGAACGGCCGCGGCGTCTCTTCCTTCTTGCGCAAGCCGTCCTCCTTGAGCGCACGCAGCAGTTCTTCGGCGCGCTCGCGGCGCTGTTCGGCGTCGATGGTGCTGGCTTGCGGGCGTGAGATGCGGTTGCGGCCCGGCGTAGAGCTGCGCTCGGGCGTGAAGCCGCCCAGCGAGATGCGCGCACGTGGCTTGGCGCCGATGGAGTCGCGCAGAGATGAGGAAGAGGAAGAGGCGCGAAGCTCGTGCAGTGAGGTCGAGGCGGCCATGCTGGAGGCTGCGGACGGAGAACCAGAGACGCGGCGGGATGCGCTCAGGTAGTCGCGCAGCGGCGCTCCGGAGGCTGACTGAGTGAAGATGGTGGGAGCCCGCAGCTTCTGCGAAGTCTCAAGTCAACCTCCGCTGCTCAGCAGTCTACGACTTGCACTCACCTTGGGCGTGCGCACGCTTCGCTCGTCCATCACTCGTCGCTCGGCCTCGGCGCGCTCAATCTCGGCAAGCCGCAGGCGCTCGCGCTCCTCCTCGCGCTCGGCCTCCTGCCAGCCAAGTCGCTTCTGCGCCGCCAGCTCGGCGTACTCTGCCTCGGTGACGAAGCGTGTGACGTGCACGGGCACCATGAGCTTGGCGTCGGGGTGCACCGAGGTCTTGGGCTGGCAGAGTAGCGTCAGAACAGCAGCGGCACTGGACATCGATGTGGTTCGCTCACCATGTTGTACTTGCTGCGCATCTCCACCACGACGGCCTCTCGTGTCCGCTGTCCGTCCTCCTCGACCCGCCAGTTGAGGCCGTTCAGATCCGTCCACGTCTCTCCAATGTGCCTGTCCTCGTCCGTGTCCGGCTCGCGCTTGCCCTTGCCTCGCGGCGAGGGCATGTGCCGCGCCTGGGCCGCCTCAGACGACATGCGAGCACCGGCGTTCTTGCGCGCCACCTTGCGCACGACTGCCGCTGCCGCCTTGCTCGGCTCGGGCGAGCAGGCCGAGCGCTTGTTGCGAGCCGCGTGTGCTGCGGAGCCGCGTCGCAGCGGCGGAGACATGGGCGTCCAGTCCATCGAGGCGTCGGCTCCCTCATCTGCGCCCTCCATGGCGTCGTCCTCCTTTGTCTCGTCCGCCTTGCTTCCGCTTCCGCTGAGCACTGCCATCTCCTCGTCCTCCGCCGCCTGATCTTCCTCATCGCGTCCGGTCCTGATCTTCTTGCCCTCGCGCTCGTCCTGTGGCTCCGACTCCTCGGACGCCTGACGCTTTCTGTTCGACTGCTCCTGCAGGCGCGGCACCTTTGCCAGGACGCGCGAGACGGCACTGCCTGGCGCCTCGTGCATCTCCTCGTCGGCATCGCTGCTTGTCTCGGCGTCCTCTTCCGCTGTGCGCCGGAACTTGCGCGCTGCGTCATCCTGCGACGACTGCGAGGCATCGGACTGCGCCCGCTTGCGCGTCAGAGCCGGCGAGGGCTGCGAGAAGCTGCCGCTGGCCGGGGGGCGGCGGCGCAGCGCCGCGAGCGTGCCTGGCGCAGGCGAGGCAGCGGGCACGTAGCTGCCGCGCTTGCCCAGCTCGCGCATCTGCGGCGGCTGCGGCAAGTACGGGTTGCGCTCCTCGTCGGCGATGCTGGCGGGCTCGAGGGGCGCCGGCGAGGCGACGGGCCGGAAGCGCACGGCGTCGGCCGCCCTTGCGGCGTCGGGCCGCGGCGCTGCAGGCGCAGGCGCCACGGCCAGCGATGCGGTGCGGCGGCGAGCCTCGGCTGCCTCGCGGGCAATGTCCAGCGGGCGACGGTCGGCGTCGGGAATGCCGAGGGCGCGGCGAGCCTCGAGGGCAAAGGCGCGCTGGCGCGCAGAGGTGCGCAGCTTGCTGCGTGCGACCAGCAGCCAGTAGACGAGCAGGCCGGCCACGAGCGCGATGAGCGCGGGATGCAGCCCGAGCATGGCTAGCTGTGGGCCGAGAGTGTGGTGGTGGCAAGGATGGAGAGCGGAGCGGTGCGCGAGGCATTCTTCGCGCGCATCGCGCAAGCACATCAGCAGACCAACAGCGCGCAAAACGCGCCGCGAGATGAGGGCGCGCCGGCGCTGCGGTTGGGCCACCCAATGCTAGGCGCAGCTGCGGCGCGCCTCCTTGACCCCTGCCTCCACCACCACTCCCTCGCTCGCGCATCAGCCGCGCCCCCTAGGTGTGCCGCACCACTACGCAGCAGCACACGTCCTATTCCACCCAGCGCCACTGCTCTGGCTCGCTGCAGCCGCGAGCCGTTGCGGCGCCACACGACATTCTCGCGGCGGCGCTGAGACTCGCCCGCCCCTTCCCGCGCGGGCCGCCTCAGCATGGAGTCGCAGATCCAGCTGCCCGAGCTCGACGACGACGATGATGTGCTCTACGCGCCCTCTGCGAGCACCGTGGGTCGGAGTGGCGGGCCCGGCGCAGCGCTGCCTGCCCTCTCCATTCCCTCGCGCGGCGGGCCCTTCCGCGGCGCCGAGCTCTCCTTCCACACGCGCTCGGGCAGCGGCACCTCCAACGACTCCAACGCCGGCCCGCCATCGGCTGGCTCTATCAGCAATGGCGCCACCTCCGCCTTTCGCTTTCCGCCCACTGGGCCGGTAGCTGCCGCTCCACCAGAGCGGCCTGGCGCGCCGCGCAAGAGCAGCTTTGCAAGCCTGCGCGCCGCCATCAAGGGCCAGCAGGCCTCTTCCTCTGCCACCGCGACAAACGGCAGCCATCGCTACCCGCTGCCTGCTCCGCTCGATCTCTCGCGCAGAGGGCACGGCCGCACCGACTCCGCGCTCAGCGCTGCGTCGCGCGGCGCAGCCTCGTCCTCAGGCGGGCATGGCGCGCCGTCGACGCAGTCGGCCAGCTCTGCGGCCGGCGGCAACTGGAACGCAGCAGGCTCGTCCATGTCTCGCGGCGGCCATGTGCAGCACAGCAGCAACTACTCGGAAGTCTCTGCGGGCGCGAGCTCCTCGACTGGCTCCGTGTTCGGCGCCGGCTCCTCCATGGGCGGCTTTGCGCCGTACATGACGTCGCATGCGCACCCGAGCATGGGCATGCCGCCCATGCCGCCGTTCCCGCAGGAATACAGCGCGCACATGCCGAGCTTCCCGCATGAGTACCAGGCCTCGGCATCTGGCTCGGCGTCGATGCCGCGAGACTCTGAAGATGCAGTGCGCCCAAACTTCTACGGCGGCGCGTTCGGTGCGGCGAATGGAGAAGAGTCGCACGACTCTGCTCGCTATCTCGGGCCGCCTACGCCGTTGGCCAGCGCCTCGTTTGCGCAGAGCGACTACGACTACGCGTCGGCCATGCCGCACACTCCGACGATGGCGCTGCGGCGAGGGCCCTCGGCCAGTGGGCCACGCGCGGCGGGCGGAGCGCTGGGCACATTGCCAGACGGCGTCGGCTCAGACGACCCCAAGACCCCCGCCGAGTACGCGCTCAACGTGCTGATGAGCCGCTGGATCACGAGCACGGCTTTGAAGATGGAGAGCGTGCAGGAAGCAGGCGTGAGTGTTGCCGCTCTCATCGCGCTGTCGCTGCTACTGACGTGCGTTTGCAGGACACGGAGCCATCTCTGGAGCACAGCTTCGGCGCCGGCGCAGACGACGTCTTTGATGCGCTGCTCGTCTCGATTGCGCATGTGGCGCGCAAGAGTGCCACGCCCGTAATCTCGTCGCTCTTTCGCTGGCGAGCACTGCAGGTCTCTGCAAACGTGGATGCCACGTCTGTGCGTCGGGCCATGCCTCGCATGGGGCAGTACTCTTCGTCACTGGCTGGCGCAGGAACGCTTGGCGTTCGAGAAGTAGCCATCGTGCTGATGCGCCGCAAGGTGTTGATGTCGGCCTACCTCCTCGCACGCGCCCTCACGGAGGTGGCCAAGCAGCTGGGACGGGGCAGTCTGGGCAAGGCGAGCTCGGCAGAGCTCGAGGGCGACGTCTTTGAGCTAATGCTGGAGTGCAGTCGAGAGCGCACGCCAAGAAGCGCAATGCAGGTCGCGGCCTTCGAGACGATCGCAAAGCTTTTGGGCGAGCTCTCCAAGACGCAGTGAGTCGCGTAAATGACGCGCTTCTGGCGGATGCTCACCGAGAGCCATCCAGCTTCGTCGCCATTGGCGATCGCTTTGTGTCGCTGCTCGAGCAATGCGCCAAGGCGCCGGCGTCCAAGGAAGCCGAGTCCGCGGCAGACGTGGCCATTCAGGGGCTGCGGCACCTGACGATCACGGTGAGCGCTGGCAGACAGTGGTCTCCGCAAACAAGACTCACGCTTTGCGCACGCAGGTATATCCGATGGAGCTCTTCGAGGAGGGCGCCGACTTCGTCGAGATCCTCTCGCGCTACTTTGTCGGCTCGCACGGGCAGCGGCTCAAGACGAGCTATGCCGATGCACTGACGCACCTGCTGCTGCCCGTCGCCAAGGTGGGCTGTCCAGAGCCGTCGTTTTGCGTGCCCCGAGCTGACGCATGCACGCCGCCAGTCCGCCTCCGCCGAGATGAATCATCCCACATGGATCAAGGCACTGGAAACCATCGGCCCGCGCGCCTTTGCGATGGCCAATAAGCCGCGCTACTGGCAGACGGCGTATCCGCTCTACGTGGCGTGCCTCTGCGCCGCTCCGGAGGAGAAGTTCCTGCAGACGGGTGCTGGCTGGAGCTGGTTCACGTGCATCGAGGCGGGCGTCGCGAAGCTGAAGGTGCGTCGCGCAGCGTGGAGAGCGTTGACGCAGCGCGCTTAGCCTCGTCCCTCGCCAGGACCGCGCGTCGCGCAACATCGTGCTCAACGGCGCCGTGCGCCTCATCTGGACGTACATGTTCCGCTGCCGCGAGAGCAGCAATACGACGACGAAGCGCCTCGAGGCCTTCTTCCGCCTCTGGTTCCCCGCCAACCGGCCGACGGTGCTGCCGCAGGACGCCGTGCTCAGTCCGTACATCGTGATGGTACACCTGGCACTGTACCGGCACTTTGACTACGGGCAGGAGCTCGTGCTCGAGTTCCTGCGACACTCGGTCCTCGGCGGCAACACGCTGGCGCTGCAGCCCGACGTGCTGTGGAAGCAGCGCATGACCATCGCCGTGCGCGCCGTGCTGCTGACGCTCGACGCGTATGTGCGCGAGGAGTCGCCGCCGTTTCCCGACGGCGCCGACTTCACCGTCTTTGACTTTGACACCGAGCAGCGCTCCGGCCGCGGCGACGAGCTGCCCGAGGACTTCGCCTTTGCGCGCCCAGAGATCGGCGAGGCGCAGATCCGCTTCAACGATCTCATCGGCAAGATCGCGCTCATCTGCGACCACCATGTCGGCGGCGCAAGCGTGTTCGACGAGTCTGCCATCGTCGTGCGCGCTGGGACGTCCACCTTCCAACGCCCGACTGCAGCGGCCGACGAGGAGCGCTACCTCTGGCGCACACACCCCGCGAGCCGCATTTCGACGGCGTATCCGCGGGAGAGCCAGCCGTACCTGGATCTGCTCCGCGCCTGCGTCGAGGCGTGGCCACGTTGCCTCAGCTCTAGCATTCCGTTCCCGAGCGTGCTGTCCGCGCTCTTCAGGGGTCACCTCAGCGTTGATCCTCAGCTTGCACACGCGTCGTCGGAGAGCTTGCGTCGGATAGCCCGGCAGCGCAAGGGCGGCGCCTCGGCAGTCGTGTCCGGCTTCATGCGCTACATCTTCCGCATCGAGACCGTCTTCTGGGAGACGCACTCAAACCAGACGCTGCTGCTGGCCAAGGTTGAGCTCGCGGTCAAGCTCTGGATCGAGTTCCTCAACATCTGGCTGGCGGACCTGCGCAAGAGCCAGGCTGACCAGGGCATGGAGCGCACGAGCGCGTGGGCCATGATCGACGACGTCGAGGCGCACGGTCTCTTCCTCCTCTGCTCTGCGTGGCGGCCGCTGCGGAGGCACGCCATCAGCGTCCTGCGCCTCGTCGCCGTCCTCGACGACGCCTTTCTCTCTCCAGCGCGCCGTCAGGCTCTGGCGGCCGAGCGCGCTCGCGGCGAAGACGAGGAGCCGACGCGCATCATCCACCTGCTCGAACGGCCGAGCTCACGCTACTGCAGTGAAGACGACGCTGGCTTGACGGCAGCGCAGCGGGCCCGCGTGACCAAGTGGCGCGCGCCAAACCGTTCCGAGCCGCTGAGCGAGCTGGCGGAGAGCGACAGCGCCATCGAGCACTCGCTCTGGCACCACGTCATGCCGCGCTTCCTGCGCATGTGTCTCGAACGCTTCCCGACGACGGTCGCCGTATTCCGCTCGTACGTGACGAGTCGAGCCCTCGGCATGGAGACGGCAGTGGCAGCCGTCTCTGGCACCTCGGCGGCCATCGTCGGGACGACAAGAGGCCTGCCAGGGGTAGGCACGACAGCCGCGCCTGCGCTCGGTCCCGATCAGGCTCTCATGGCGGACCACTGGAAGCTTTACATTCTGGCGCTCTGCACGACCACGACGTCCACCGACGGCGGCCACGGCTTGGCACTCGGACACGTTCGCCAGCCAAGCGAGGGCGGCGGCGAGCGCGTCATCGCAGCGCGCGATCTGTTCCAGCGGCTCGTGCCTTTCCTGGCCTCCGAGCAGGCTCATGTCCGCGACGCAGTCGTGTCTGCGCTCGGCAACATCAACATCAACCTCTACCGCACGCTGCTTGAGACGACGCAGGCTGTCGGCGCGCAGCTCAATGAGGACTCGAAGGCGCGGTCGGCCACGCGCTCGATCGGGCCGGCGCGACGCAGCCGCCGCCACGAGCGCCTGCGGACGGCCGTGGCGCACGTCGTGCAGCTGACCTCGGCGCACATGCTGCGCGACGAGACGCTGAGCGACCAGAGCATCGTGATGCTCATCCTCGGCTGGGTCAAGGACACGTTTGCGTTCCTGACGCAGCGCGAAGTGCGCGTGGACTGGGAGTTCCATCGCCTGCGGCGCTTCTTCTCTGGCGTCGTCGAGGAGTTCTTCAACGGCCTTGCGCGTCTGGAGGCCAGCGAGCGCTACTTCAACTTCGACACGCGCCTGCGCATGTTCCGCCTCTTTCGCGAGTGGCACTCGTACAGCCAGGCGGCGCAGGACGGGCCAGTCAAGCTTGCTAACCTGCTTGCCTCGGTCGGCGAGCAGTACCGCGACGACAAGCAGCGCGAGCAGGTGCTGACGCTGCTGCGCAACGAGACCCAGCTGCTCTCGTACCACGCCGGCAGCGCCATGGCGGCGCTGTGCCAAGGGGCTATCTCGCTGGTCGGCAGCGCTGCGCCTGCGCCCATGCCTGGCTCCTCGCTCGACGCCGCGTCGCTGCTCTTGTGGCTGCAGCACCTGTTCCAGAGCCCCGCGCCGCAAAACCACGCGGTCGCACGCCGCGCCCTCCATGCGCTGCTTAAGTTCAACGCCAAGCACGAGCAGCTCGTCGCAACTGCAGTGGAGCACTGCTTTGCCGAGGACGAGGGGACCACGTCTCCGCGATCCTTCTTCGTCGTGATGGCCGACGTCATCGTACGGCAGAGCGAGGAGCTCGTGCCGCTGCATCAGAGCCTCTGCTTGGGTCTTGTCAAGCTTGGCCATCCCGATTCGGAGGTGCGGCGCAAGGCGTTCGAGCTGCTTGATTGCGTGGGACGGCGCCATGTTCCCGCGCTGGCCATGCACGATCTCGAGGTCGGCGTCGGCAGCCCTCTGCCTGCGACGTATCTGCGAGCGCAGCGCGAGATTTCGGCGCATCTGGCCGACCGCTTCGGCTCGCTCAAGGTGGCGATGCTCTCCGAATACACGTCCCGCCTGCCGGTCATCGACATCATGCGGCGCGCCACGACGCTCGGCCTGCTGCCTGAGTGGCTCAACGGGCTGGAGCTGCCGTCCACGGGCGCCGCCGACATCGACCGCAGCGGCAGCTTCGCGGCCAGCTTCGCCAGCGTCGAGGTGCCGGGAGAAGCATTCGTCGTGCTCACGAACCTCATGTTCCTCACGATCAAGTACAGCGACGACCACAACTTTGAGATCCAGGACATGTGGGCGAGCCTGGCCGAAGGGCCCGGCGCCGGCGCCAACGCGGCGGTCATCGTGCGCTTCCTCGTCGAGGAGGCGCTGCGCTTCCGCAGCTCGGCGTTTGTCGTGCAGGCCAAGCGCGCCATGTCGTGCCTCTCGCACACGGTCATCGCGCCGGTGCTGTTCGCCACGCTCTGCGCACTCATCGAGCCGTCCGCCATGATCCCCGTGCCGCGCGACGAAGCGCTTCCCGCGCTAGAGGCCGCACTGCAGCACCTCCACTGCGCCGTGCTCGATCCGCTGCTGCCGGACGCCTCGCGTCGCCAGGTCTTCTCGCCGGGCCAGATCGCGCTGCTCTTCGTCGGCGAGCTGACGTACGACCGGACGGAGCATCTCGCGTCGAGCCTGCCGCTGCTGCTGCACGCCATCTTCATGCAGGTCGACAGCGTCTCGCAGTTTGTGCAGGAGCAGATGATGGCGATGCTCATGCAGATCATGCGTACACTGACGTCGGCCTCAGGGCCCGTCGTTGCCGAGACGAAGCCCGAGGCCGCCGACGCGGACACCAGCCTGAACGCCACGGCGAAGCAGAAGGTCGAGCAGCTCTTCGCCAAGGGCTCGGCCGTCTTCTGGGCGCACGACGACCTCGACCTCGATCTTGACCAGACGCGCACGCCACGCACGCTGCGCTCCACGCTCACCGAGCTGCTCGCTGTGCTGCATCCCCTGCTGCCCGAGCTGCGCGCCGAGTGGGGCCAGACGTCGCTGCACTGGGCCACGTCGGCTCCGGTCCGGCACATGGCCTGCCGCTCGTTCCAGACGTTCCGCGTTCTCCTGCCGGACACGACGCCGTCGATGCTGGCAGACATGCTCGGTCGCCTCTCGAACACCGTTTCGGATCCAAGTGTCGACGTGCAGGCGTTTGCGCTCGAGGTGCTCTACACCCTGACCGCCGTCGTGCGCAGCGCGGACGCCTCGCAGACGGAGCTACTGAGCCAGATCTTCTGGGGCAGCGTTGCGTGCCTGTCGACCGCCAACGAGCGCGAGTTTGCCGAGACAATCACGCTGCTCGAGTCGCTGCTCGACAAGCTGGACATTGGCGCGCGCGACACGATCGACATGCTGCGCGACCGCTGTCCGGAAGGCTGGGAGGGCGAAGCAGGCGGTCTGCAACGGCTGATCCTCCGGGGCTTGCGCTCCTCGGTCACCTCGTCGGCGTCGTTCGCCGTGCTCGCACGCCTTGCAAGCGTCCAAGACGACACGCTCATCGACGCCTACGGCTCGCGCCTGGCGCAGCTCTTCACGGCGGCGCTGCCGTGGTTCCTGCAGAGCACCGACGCTCCGCTGACGCAAGACGACTCGGTGCTCGCGCTTGCCGGCAACATTGCGCTGCTTGCCGAGCACGAAGGCAAGGCGGACCTGCACCGCGTCGCGACGTCAATTGCCAAGTCGCGCTTCCGCACCAAGGACGACCTGGTGCGGCAGGCCGTCGGCTGCATCCGCGTCAACTTCCTGCCCGCGCAGGGCCCTGATCTGGCGGTGCTGCTCCTCAGCCTGGCGCTCAACCAGCACGAGTGGCTGCGCAAGCAGACGCTGCAGGTGCTCAAGGTCTTCTTCCAGGTCATCGACACGCGCTCCGACGCCTTTGCCAATCTCGGCTCGGAGCTGCTCATGCCGCTGCTGCGCCTCTTGTCCTCGTCGCTGTCGGCCGAGGCGCTCGACGTGCTCGACGAGCCCATCTCCATCAACGGCGGCCCTGCAGCGAACCAGATTCTGCGCATGAGCCTGCAGTGGGGCAAGCCGAGCCGGCGGCGCGAGCAGTCGAGCGACGCGTCCATCTTTGGCGCGCCAGACGACAGCGGCTGGGCCGTGGCGCACCCGCAGGAGATGACGGCGCGCAGCCGCATCAACGTGCAGGCCGTGTTCAAGACGTGCGAGCTGGCCCTCGAGACGGCGCCCGTCGGCGAGGTCAACTTTGTCGAGTGCGACGATCTGGAAGAGGACGACACGAGCGTCGTCGACCTCGGCCTCGGCGGCGCGCTGTCGCAGCTGCACGCCCTCTCCAACTTCTTCGAGCCGGACTCGAGTCCGTCCGTCGGCAGGCCGGGCGCCAGCGCGTTCCCGGCGCTCGCAGGCGAGAGCGACGAGCAGGTCGCGCGCATCCTGGCGCGCTCGGCCGCACGCTCGACGCCGAGCAGCCACGACTTTAACGGCGAGCGAGCGTCACTCGACCGGTCCGACGCGGGCAATAGCTACTACGGCCTCGAGCCATCGCCCTACGCCTCGGACGCCTTCACCCACCCCGCCTCCATCGAGGCGGCGCGCGCAGCCGGCATCCTGCCGAGCCTCTTCACCGACGTGGGCCGCCTGCGCTCGCGCAGCGACAGCGACTCGAGCTCCTCGCCGCTGGCGCCGCACGACGACGGCAGCTCGACGCCGCATCCGCCCGCTGCCTATGCGGCCGCTAGCAACGGCTCCGAGTCGGCCGCGACGACGCCGCAGCGCGAGCGCTCCTCGGCCTGGCCGGGCAAGACGTTCTTCCGTGGCCGTGCGTCGCCGCGCGCCTCGCCCGAGGCGACTGCTGTGCCGAACCCGCTGGAGCATGCTCCTCAGCGCCTCTGATACCCCTTGCTTCTCTGCTCCTGCTGCGCCCTCTCATCTGTACAACACACCTCTCAATCCAACGTCACGCGCGGAAGCATAGCTGAATAGTTGCGTGGTAGTGTAGTCGCACAGCGTGACATGGCGCGGGGCAGACGCGAGCGGCCGAGCGCTCGTTTGCCGTGCGCGATCCCTCTCCTCTATCGCGGCGTCATCTCCGAGTCGGTGCTTGAGACGAAGCTAGCGTCCTGCGCCTGGTCCTCCTCAATCGCATCCTGCGCCGCTGCCGCCTCCATGTCCAGCACGACGGCCGGCGTGATGCTGCGCAACGTGCCTCGCGATGGCCGCTTCACGAGGCCCGGCCTCGAGCGCGTCTTGGCGTGCGAGCTGCTCGCTGCCGAGTGTGGGCCCGAGAGCTCGGACACGCCCAAAGACGGCGAGCCATTCGGTGACGACGATGAACCCTCTCCGGGAGCCCAGGAGAAGTTGGGCGCGTAGGGCGGAGGCACGTCAGAGTCATCGCCGACTCGTGATGTCGATGCACTCGAGAAGTGCCCGCGTGGCGCATCGGGAGCCAGGCGTGCGGCATCGCTGGAGCCTCGTCGAGCAATGTACGAGCTACTCCGGCTGCGCGCACCGGTGTGCTGCAGAGTGTTGGCGCGCGCCAGCGTGGCCCGCACCGGTGCGTCGTTTGCCGCATCGCCCTGCGGCGTCCACGTCTGAGCAAACTTGCCCGAGCCTGCAGCTGCGGGCGGCTGAGGGCCAATGTCGGCAGAGCCAGGACGCGCCTCGACGTCAAAGTCTGCTGGCGACGGCGTGCGTCGTGGGAGGTTGGGCGATGCGGCCCGCCACGACGGAGGCAGTAGGCTAGCAGCCCATGCGCCAAGGCTGTTGCCGCGCGAATGCCCGCCGCTCGAGTACGCATCGCTCTCGGGACTGCCGCTGCCGCCGCCGACGAAGAAGGCAGGCAGGTACAGCGTGCCGCTGGATGGCAGGCCGGAGGAAGTGGCAGTCGTGGCGGCAGATGGCTTCTTGCTCTTGCTGGCCGTGCCCGAGCGGGGCATGCCGGCGCCCTGTCCACTCATCGACGATGCGGGCCGCGCAAAGCCACTGCCGGCCCACGCCAGCAGGCCCTGCTGCGGGCCGCTCGCCTCGTTCGAGTCGGAGCTCTCGGCATCGTCGGAATGCTCGCCATCGTGATCTGCCAGATCGAACATGGGCACGCTGAAGCGCTGTGGCCGCGGTGCAGCGACGCGCGGCGCGCCGGCGGGCGCATCGCGAGAGAGCATCTCGTACCCGCCGCGCGTGCGTGCATTGCGCGTAGAGGATGGCGCTTCGGGCTCGGAGCGCAGCGGCAGACTGATCCAGCGCGCGCTCGAGTCGTTGCGCGCCATGCCTGGCCGCCGCGGGCCTCGTCGCTTGTGGCCCAGCGCGTGCAGCAGGCGCGGCAGCAGCGTCTTGCCGGCGCCCCACGCCACGACGCAGGCGCCGAGGAACATGAGGAAGCGGCCGTGGTCGCGCAGGAAGATGAGGAAGCCGGCGTCGTTGGCGTGCCACGACGAGCCGTAGAAGTGCCGGAAGAAGGCATCGGGCGCCTCGAGCGGCTTGGCATTCTTGCCGTACAGGCTCTTGGGCAGCACGCGCAGGCCCTCGAAGCCCGCCGCGGGCTGAGAGGGCCGCGAGGGCACGGCGGCGCCATGGGCATCGACGTAGATGCCGTACGAGGCCGAGACGAACATCGGGCCCGTGCTGAACATGACCGTCGGGTAGTTGGTGAGGTACTGGTGGTTGAAGGTGACGAGATTGTGGATGAGCTGCTCCATGAACGGATGGCCGCGCGCCGCAAACATAATGTCGTTGGACACGCCCACGGGAATCGTCTTTGGCAGGATGACCTCGAAGCGCAGCAGCGGGTCGAAGCGCCGCAGACAGCCGACGTCGAGGTCGATGTACACGCCGCCGTACTTGTGCAGCACAAAGTAGCGGATCGCATCGGCGCGCTGGATCGCGTAGGGGTAGTTGTCGAAGACGCTGATGAACCAGGGGTAGTGCTGCACGATGAACTCGCGCGAGGCCGCGTCTGACCAGAGCATGTACTCGCTGCAACGGGTCAGGGCAAGCTCTGCAAGGGTGTGCTGTGCGGCGACTCACTAGTCCGGGTGCATGGCGCGACACTCGTCGCTCACCGCCTGCCACTTGGGCGGCAGCGTGTCGTCCTTCCACGTCTGGTGGATGATGCGCGGAATCTTCTCTGGCGGCGAGTTGGGGTTCCACGGCGCCGGCGTGTTGTTGCGCATGGGCGAGGCCATGCCTGCGGCCGAGAGGCGCTCGATGCCCGCCTGCTCGGCCGCCGTGGGCGCCGCAGTGCTGGCCGCTGGCGGACGCGGGCGGTGCAGCATCGTCGCGAGCCACGGGTAGCGCGCCGCCCAGCCGAGCGGCAGCGTGTCGGCATCGCCGCCCCACTGGATCTCATCCCACGTTCCGAGCTCCTCGGGCAGGATGTAGGCGCTGTCGTCGATGCTGAAGTAGGCGCGCACCGTCGAGAGGAAGATGACGGTGCCGAGCAGGAAGAGCGCCAGCAGGCTCAGCAGCAGCGTCGAGGTGCGCCGCGAGAAGAGACGGCCCATGGCTGCGAGGCCGGCAGCGGCAGGAGTGTCAAGTGCGGCGAGGCAGAGGCTGGCGGCGCGGCGCAGCGCACGCTCGGGCGCTCGCTGAGGGCGGCGATCAGAGCAGACGGGTGCGCGCTCGCTCCAGACCGCAGAGACGTGCTACGCTGGCGGCGGGAGGTTGAGAAGAACGGGGGTAACGAGGCGGGGTGTGAGAGACGGAAGGATGGAGGCAGCTGTCAGGAATAGCAGCAGCCGCGGCGCGGGCCCAGGCATCTCATCGCCGCCGCGGCGCGCCATCAAGGCAAAGCGCGGAGGCGCGGCACCGGCACGCGAGCTGCGCAGCGCAGCGATGGGCAGACGCGCAGGCAGCAGGCGAGGCGCAGCAGCAGCAGCGCGCCCCGGCCTTCTCCTCGCGCCAGGCACGGCAGCACGGCGCTTGGCAGCCGAGGCGCGCAGCTGCGCAAAGCAACACGCGCGGGCACGCCGCCTGTGTGCGCCGCCGCGCCGCACGGCAGCGTCACCTTTTCCGCCCTCCGCACGCCCCGCGAGACCCCGAAGGCTCGGCGTGGCACGCGAGCGCGCACAAGGCGCGAGGGCGCTTCACACGTCAGCCATCGACGATCGGCACTCAGGGTGCGCCAGGCGCTGCGACGACGGCGAGGGCGTGAGCAGCTGTCCGCTGCGCTGCGTCGCAGGCGAGACCTCAGGGTACAGGGTGCACGCCTCCCCTTGCTCTCTCGAGTGGTGGCTCGGCCGGCGGCCGGAGGAGGCGAGCCGGCGCTGCGGGCTGAGCGCGAAGTCGAAATCGCAGCGGCAGCGGAGCGGCTCGGCGGCCGCGGTCCGAGCGAGCACGAGGTGCCCCTGGCCTGTCACAGCCGCAGCTCCTCTCTGATGCGCTCGAGTTCAGCTTCACAGCAGCTGCAGCAGCTGCTTGAGGCAGTGCTGCGTATGCTTGCTGGTGTCGCTGCAACGGCGGACGGGTGCAGCGCAAACTTGCTGCGCCCCTGCTGCGGCACGGCTCATCCGAGCCGCGGCAGGCGGTGAGGCAGACCCGCGGAGCAGCGCTGGCGCGCGGCGTGCATCCCGCGGCTGCTCCCTTCTCTCAGGGCCCAAGCCCCCCTCCTTGAGCCCCCTCGAGCGATGCACGCCCGGTCTCCAGCAGCCTTGCATCCTGCATGCCCGTGTATCTCATCGCCGGGGTAATTTCCGTGCTCGTCTCGCTTTCGGAAGGGCCGCTTCGCCGAGCGCACCCGTACGCCAAATCCTCTCGTGGAGAAGCTGGTCGCCCACCCGTCGGCTCCGGTCACGGCAGCCGAGCGCGTCAGGGGAGCACGCCGCGCTGAGGGCGGACTGCGATAGTCGACGCGCGAGACTGCCTCCGTGGACTGAGCTGTTGCATTCAAAATTGAGCTTGCCTCTCAGAGAGCAAGCGAATGAAGAGCCTCAACCCCCAGCAGAGCGTCAGCCTGCAGCGCGTAGAGCGAGGGCGATGTGTGCGGTGCGCGACGTGTGCGGTGCAAGGCACGCGTGCTCGCACGGCCCATGGATGACTGAAGGCGTGCCGCGCCGTTCTCCCTGCGCACCTCCGGCTCCACGCAGGAGGCGCTCGCACGCGCAGGCAGCCTCGAGAGCTATATCAGGGCCGTCGTCGGGTCAACTCGGGTGCGGAAACATTCGATTGGGCGAGACAAAGTGCTTTTGCTCGGAGGGCCCCAATGGTTCGCCTCGGCGCGCCGCAACGGCGCCCAGCCACTTGCCACGCAGCCGCGATATCAAGAGCGCTCGATGTCCTGCGCCGCTTCTCTTCTCTCCACCACCACCACCGTCGTCTCCTCCTTTCCTTCTTTCTTCGGCCTTTGCCTCGTTTCCTCTCTTGCTCTTCCGACTCTCCTTCACTTCGTCAATGACCAACACTCCTTGGCGCTCCGCCTCGCTCACCATCGCGCGCTCCACCTTCACGACTTGCTCGTCGTCGCACGCACGGCAATTCATGCTTCAAGTCTCGCCGTTGGCTCACGATGCAGCCGGTCAGACGTGAAGCACGCCAATGAGCTGGTGAGTGACCTGTCCAGGCGATGGAGTCGGGATGGACACACGTGATGGAGAACCGCCACATCGCTCAGGAGGCTGACACTTGCCCCGCTTCGCCACCCAGCCTCGTCTTCCAGCGCATGCGTACGGCCTCTTCGTCCGGCCTCTTCGATCGTCTCTTCCTTCTCTTCCCTCAAGCTCTTCCCGGCCCTTGATTGCACTTCACCCATGCTAGCTCATCGGACAGCTGTGTCGTTCCGATCTGGCCGTCCAACGTGCTCGTGTCATGGCGTCGTCCAATCTGCGGTCCGGCTTCATTCTAGCTTCAACGCCTAGTGTCGTCTCCGAGCATCAACTGCGACACTCAAGTTCGTTCGTCGGCCGTCGTCACTGCAAGAGGCGGCATCGGCCGAGACGTCGACGCGCGTCCAGATGATTCGGTGTACTATTCGGTGTCCGATGCGAGCTATCGTCAAGCATCAACCTTGCCGATGAGTCGCGTCGGCGCAGGCGAGTACACCAAAATCATTCGATCGCGTGTCGAGGTCTCCGCTGCTGCCGACGCCGACGAGGAGGACACGTCGTTTCGAGCACGGAGGTGCGGCCACTCGTCTCATCTCATCGTCCGACATCGTCGACCGGGCGCGACGTCGAACCACGGCCAAGCGGACCGCTGGTCCTGTAGCGTGATCTGTCGTCAAGCATTGACGGCAAGTCGCGCTACGGGACCGGCATCGGCTTCGTCCGTGGATCGCCCTCGAGCATGGTACAGACGAGTAGGACAAGTCGTCTCGAGCGCAGAGCAAGTGGCACACGCCTCATCACTCCGGCCACTCCGGCCGTCAACCAGCCGCAACGTCGCTTCATGGCGACTGATGATGATCTCGTCACGTAGAGCGCTGCCTGGCTGTTCGTCGAACCTTGACGATCAGTTGCGCAGCGCCTGCGAGGTCGAGGCCGTCATCGTGTCCCACATCGCGTCCTCGCTGCTGCCGACAACCAGCAAGCCGAGCTGCCTCAAGCACCATCGATGCCGTACCTCTTCATCCGGCCGAGCCATCAAGGCGCAAGCCAGGCGCGACTTGATGGTCTGCCCACTCGGCCTGCTCGTCGTCGACCGGGACATCGAGACGCGAGAGAGTGGTGTCTGGCTACTCGTCGGCGATGTTGCGCGACTCCTGTCGAGACTTGGCTACTCGTCGGCGATGTCGCGCAACCTGTCGCCAAGTCTCGACAGGAGTCGCGCAACATCGCCGAAGATCTCTCCGTCACCTCTTGCGCTCTTCCCTGTTCCGGCCGCCGACGAGCAAGGTGCGATGCCGTCCCTGCGCCGCACGTCATCGTCGAGGCCGGCCATCGAGGCGCACGGCTTCCACGACTTGGAGCTCTGCCGACTCTTCGTCTGAGTGCGAGTCCGGACATCGACACGCGGGGCACAGACGAGCGCATTTTCTTCGGAGCCGTCGCGCGACCTGTCGCCAACGACAGGACTCGCGCAACGTCTTCCATGATGACATTATCGCCGTGTGCTCGCCTGTGTCTGCCGTCCGAGTCGGCGACCGGCAGAAGCGCCGCCCTGAGCACGACTTCAGCGCCGCACGCCATCGTCAAGTCGGAGCATCGAGGCGCATGAGCTCTGCGGCTCGATGCTCTACCTACTCCTCCTGCTCATCGACGAGTGAACGTTGGTATTCGAGCAGCTGACGGCTGGTCGCCAAGCCAACCGCCGCCTGATCGTCGCCACTCTCGAGGCCCAGGAGCGCTCTTGAACTTCAAGCGCGCCTCTGAGGCTCGAGTCGTCGTCTGTCGAGCCGCGAGTGGCGGAGGTTCACCACCCGCCGGTCCTCGGCCATCGACGCTCGGTCGTCGATCAGCAACGCGCGACGTCACGAGCACGACATTGTTGCCGTACGCCTCATCGCCGAGCCGAACCGTCGTCGTGCGAGTCATCAGCGGCTGAGCGGACCGCAGCTTCACGTAGCCTCCGTCAATCAGGACGTACTTGCTCTTGAGCGAGGCAGGTGCCGGGTCTGTGTTCGCGTCAGGCAGCTCTGCCGAGTCTTCTTCGAGCCGAGACGTTCATGCCCGAGTGCTCATCAGCGGGATGTTAGCGGCGAGATCGATCTGACTTGCTGCCGGTCTTGACACGTCGTCAATTCCCGCAACGACTCAGATCGCGCCTCGGTCACGATCATCCCCCTGTCGGGCTCTCGTGCATCGACGTTCCGGCCGGCGATGACGCCGAGCAGAGGTTCCTGACGCCATCGCGGATCGCCCACCCGTCGAGTCTCGCGCATCAACGCCACGGCTGCCGACGACTAGCAAGACGCAGCGTCATCCGTACGACTTCATCGCTGCACGCCTCATCAACCACCCGGCTCATTAACGACGGAGTCCGCGGCACGGCAACCCACCGAGACGTCGCGCCGCTCCAAAGACATCCTGCACCTCGCCTATCAGCGGCTCTACCTCAAGTTCAGCAGCAACAGGCCCGCCCGCGAAGCCGGTCGAAGGCCTCGTTGTTGCTGCTTCTGAGGTGAGCTCTGCTGTATGCGAGCTGGAGGGTATCTTTGGAGCGCGAGCACGACTTCGACGCCGCGCGCCTCTTCGTCGAGCCGGCCATCGGCGCGCAAGAAGTTCGCGGCTTGGCGATCTGCCGAGACGTCGCACGCCTCGCCGTCAAGAGGAGCAGCAGCAAGATGTCGGCTCGAGGTGGAATGGTTAAAGGTCCGACCAGCGCCCAGGACGGATCGCCGCGATCAGTGTCGCGGACGACTCGCCTTGAGCGCGCCTCGGCTTTACGACCTTCCTTCACTCCTTCGTCATCTTCTTCCTGCCGCACCTCTTCGAACGACTCCCTCTCCTTCTCATCGCCACGTGGTCTCACGCTCCCGTCCGCCTTCTTCCACCCTCTTCGTCGCCGACCCGCCTGACAGCACGATGCTGGAGAAGTGAGGCTGCGCCGGACGGTATACGGATGATTGGAACAGGATGGTCTTCTTTGAGTCCTCTGTGATCGAGCATGGCTCGGGCAGCAGCGTGCCCGTCCCTACCCGTTCACAAGGACATCTCGGGACCCTCTTCCTTCGTTCTTCTATGTACCCTCTCTCGCCGCTTTGCTTCCTCCCCCCCCCCTTCCCCTGGTCTATCTCTCTTCCTCTCTACTCGCGATCGCAGCAATGCATTCCACCTTGCCTCTCATACTTCCTCTCGCTTGTGCTCTCGCTCGTTCTCTGCCTCGTGACCCGCTCTAGCCTTGCTCGTCAGCGCAGTTGTGAGAAGGGGATGCTCGGTGAATTGTATGCCTCGCTGCGCCCTCTCCGGCAGCCCGTGCCGCCGCTGGATTCTCGCCGGGTGGCAGGAGCGGAGGACACCTGGTCGGGCCTTTCCGAAGCGCGCAGCAGAGGCCGATTTGACGGGGGTGGCAGCAGGAATCTTCTCGACGGACGACCACGTGGGGGCCTCTTCAACGCCGACAGGACGACGAGCGTGGCATGCGGCACATCGTGACGCGACACGCGCCGTTTCTGAAGCTGCGCCCTCAGCAAGCCGAATTTTCTGGAGTACGGCGCTCCAATAGCATGGTCAAGAACGGCTGCCGGTGCTACACATACCCTTGCCGTATCGAGTTCAAGCGTAGCCTCCCTCTGCGCACCGTGCATGGGCATATCGGACGCTCCAGGTCTGCACTTTAAGGCGACAGGGCCGCGACGCGTGCGCCGCGCGTTCAGCCTTGCCCCCTGAGCGCTGCAGCGCGCCTCAAGCGCCCCGTGCGCCTTCGCTCGCCACTTCGAGAAACGGGGCCCGCTGCGCCACAAATCAGACTCAGAACGAAGTCGTGGCTGAGCACATTGGATTGAGGCGACGTGACAGAAACAGAGGACATGACCGAGCGGAAGAGAGGCGTTACATGAGGGCAGCGTAGCGAGGCCCAGGGAAGAGACACGGGCGCAGGAGCGTAAGAAGCGCCTAGTAGGGGTACTTGGTGGTGGCCTCGAGCGTGCGGTTCTGGCGCACGAGGATCCACTTCATCCAGAAGGCCGTGGCGGCGCAGAGAAGCGAGAAGACGCCCATGGCACCCATGGCGAGGGCGTAGCGCGGCTTGTCGGCGTTGCGGAAGAGGTAGGGCGTGTAGATGAAGCTCGCGTTCGACCACGAGGTCATCATTGCGATCGTAACGGCCTTCTTCTCCTTGCTCTGCGAGCAGACGGTCGAGGCCCAGCCGAGCACGATCGAGTTGACGCCGTACGTGCCGATGGTGAAGATGCACATGGCGACGTAGCGGCCGGCCGTCTGGCTCGGCGAGGCAGCAGCGGCAGTGACGAAGCCGACGGTGGCGACGAGCTTGCAGATGAGGATGTGGTACGTGCGCTCGTTGAAGCGGCCCGACGAGAGCGAGACGAGCACTGAGACCACGCCGGCGATGAGGTACGGCGGGCACGTGAGCACCAGAGTGATGAGGCGCGAGAAGCCGAGCGTGTTGACGACCGAGGGGAAGAAGTTCTTGAAGCCGTTGGCGCTGAGGTGCAGGTTCTGCATGAGGCAGAAGAGCCAGACGCGCGGGTCGCGCACGGCCTGCTTGAGACCGGCCATGGCCGAGCCCTGCTGCACGTCCATGTCGACCTGGTCGCGCAGCAGACGGTTGACGGCCATCTCGCGCTCCTCGTGCGAGAGCCAGCGCGTCGTGCCGGGCGTGTTGGGCAGGAAGGGGTAGGCGAGCAGCGCGACGAGGCCGGTGACGGAGCCCTGGATGATGAAAAGCCACTGCCAGCCGGCGTAGCCAAGCACACCGTCGAGCTCGAAGATGCCGGCGGCGATCAGACCGGCGAACGAGGTGGCGAGAATGTTGCCCGTGTACAGGATAGCGATGCGAGTGCCCTGAGGAGTGTGTCAGAGCCAGCAGCAGGAGGCGAGGGAGAGAGGCAACTCGGAGCGAGCAGTCCGAGTCATCTGCCTCGATAACTCACGACTTCGGTTCTTGTGTAGAACGACGAAAGGATGTACAGAGCGCCGGGGTCTTCGGGAGGGGGTCAGAGGCGTGCTCGAGTGGTGGACTGGCGCTCGACTCACAGTAGGGAGCCTCCACGACACCGAGGCAGAAGCGCGTGGCCACGAGGCCGCCGAACGAGCCCGAGAAGGCCGTGCAGATCGAGATGACGGCCCAAAGCATCATGATTCCCACGAGGAAGGGCGCTGGGCGGACCTTCGTGATGATCATATTCGAGGGAACACCTGAGGAGGGGAGGGAAGAGGGGGGGGAAGGCGCGTGAGCATGTCTCGCGTCGATGGACGCGCAGCGAGCGCGCCGCTCAGAGCCGCTTAAACTCACCGCAGATCACGTATCCGACGAACAGGATACTGACGGCCGTCTGGTACTGTGTGTCCGAGAGGCCGAGGTCTGCGAGGCACAGGCAGCGGAATGTCAGCGTCGCGTCGTGCCCAAAACGACTACGAGTACACGCACCTGCCTCAATCGAGCTGAGCTTGGCCAGTGCAATCGCATTGCGGTCGAGGTACTGTAGCAAGGACGGTCAGCTGCGGTTCTCGGGCGAGGAGGGCGCCCAAGGGGGGAGGGGGGAGAGGCTGTGGTGGTGGGAGTGCAAGAGGCATCGCGAGCAGCGACGCGCGCCTCAGCACGCGTCGCGAAGCCTCCGCCGCAGCCTCCGCCGCAGCCTGCACGGTTGCGCCTCCATGGCCAGCACACTCACGTTGAGCCAGTACATACTCCAGAGCGAGAGCATGATGTAGATGTCCATCTTGCGCACGAGCTTGATCTCGGCGGGGTCCGTCTTGCCCTTGAAGCCCGAGTAGTCGAGGCCGGTCTGCTCGCCCTTGGGGTCGGCGCTCTCGACGTCGGCGTCGCGCACCTTGACGTCGGCGCCGTACTCCTTGCCGGCGTCGTAGGACTTGCGCGCCTGCAGCGCCGGGTCCTCGACCTTGGCCAGCACGGCGACGGGGTGGGTGATGGGCTGCGCCATGGTGGGCGAGAGTGTGTGGGTGAAGGGTGAAGTTCGGTGGCTCGCGAGTCGACGAGCGGGCGGCCGGGGGTGGACTTGGCGCGGTAGAGAGGAGGAGAAGGGGAGAGCGGGATGATCTGCTGGTTTGGAGGGCGAGGAAGGACCAACGTGGCTGCCTTTTGAGTCTTTGCGACGAGTATGGCTGGCCTGCGCACGCGCGGTGCGGCAGAGCTTCGCGTATGGCGCGCCACTGGCGCTGCAGGCACGCACGCTGCGCTGCGGCGGCTCCCCTCGCTTCCCCAGCTGCGCTCCAGCAATTACCCCATGCTACCCCGCGTGCCTCTCCGGGGCCCCAGAGATGCACGCAGAGAGCGCCCGCCCGCAGGCCCGCTCCAAAGCCCGCTCCGGCATCGTCCGAGGGGCGCGGCGTAGCGCAGACTTCCTTGGGCCAGCGCGCATCGCGGGCAGGAGAGCAGAGTGACGCTGCCGCAAGACGCACAGACCCTGCGAAGAGAAGGCGTCGACGGCCTGCCGGCGGAGGTGCAGCGGTGTGCAGGCGGCAGGTGCGGAGGCGGGCAGAACGAGGGCGCAGCCGCTGCGTGCGGAGCGGCTGCACTCGCCGTTTGCGAGCCAGCCAGCCGGCGTGGGCGCATTCGGCAGGCGACCGCACTCCTTGCTGCCAAGAGCTTGCCAAGGGCAGTCGGACCGGACAGGGCCGTCGGGCATTGAAGTGCCGCGACACCGACGACTCGACGAGACGGCCAGAGTGCGGGGCAGGGCGGCTAGTGGCCCTGGTGGCGCCGATGCAAGGCTAAACGTGGCACCTGCGCGACCATCGCAAGGGCGAGAGATGCTGCTGATGTGCCTCGACACCCAGCACTGCAGCGTGCAGCTGCGTTGAGCCGCTTGTCAGCCGTCGCTGTGCTGCTGCGGCTGCCAGAGCCGCAGCGGTGCGGTTGCGGGGGGGAGGCACCGGACCGTGCTCCGCAAGCCGCCCGCCGCGCCGCGCCGCTCCCTGCGCCCGCCTGCCGCATGTGCCGCCCGCACGCCGCACCGCACCGCGAGGCCGGAACGCCTCGTGCGTCCGAGCGTTTCTCTTGGCGCTGCATGCCGCTCAGCGCGCCGCAGCATGCAGGCCGCCTCTCGCGTCTCCTGGTGCTGCCGCTGCCGCTTGCCTCGCCCGCACTGCTGCTGGCGCTGCAGCCCGCCCGCCCCGCGACGCCGCCGATGCCGCCCGTGGAGCGCTCATGCAAGCCGGCGCTCACTCCGCACGCCTCCGCACGCAGACGAGCAGCCGCGCCGCCGCGCACGCGGCAAGACGTTCCTCCGCATCGGCAGTCCGCCTGCCCGACTCAGCCTCAGACAAGGCGCAGAGCGGCAGAGAGAGAGACGGATGCTCTCTCTGCGATGCTCGTGCTCGTGCTGATCTCCAGCAGCTGCGCCTCTGCATCTGCATCTGGCTCCTGGACATGCGGCAGGCGGCATCAGCTGCCTGCGCTGCTGATGCTGCGCTGTGACGGCGTGCAGCTGCAGCGGCGCAGCCCCGTCGCCTGAATTGCCTATCTGACGCCCCTCTTTCCCCACATTTCTCCTCGCTCCTCGCAGGGCATGACCCTGTCTCTGACACTCGTCTGGCACCCACATGCTAGCGTAGGAGAACACTGACGCAGCGGCGCGCCAGTTCACGAGAGAGAGGGGCAAAAGAGGTGTGGCCCGAGGCATCACGGTGCTGCCTCTGCTCGCGGCCTGCCGCGTCTGCGTGCCGCAGCTCTTTGCCCCCCCCTCAACAACAGCTCTCGCTCTGTCCTTGTGCCTGAGTGCTGACCCTGTTTGCACGTTGTCCCTGCTGCTGATCTCTCGGCACCGTCACGCCGGAAGAGATCGGAAGCGAGACTTCCCCGCACTTGCTGCCTCTCTCTCTCTGCAAGGTACGCGGGCAGGCTGCTCTCTCGCTTTGGCTGGCGCAGGCACCCACGCTAATAGGTATAGCGTCAGCACACGGCAGCGGGGGTACCTTACGAATTGATCCATGCCTGAGCGTCACACGCCCCCCGTCTGAGTGCAGCAGAAGTGCAGCAAGGGAGCTGCCGCCTGCATCTGCGGCATCGCCTCGCGCTGCACGCTGCACGCTGCGCCAAGACCCCACTCGAACGTGGCATTCGTCTCCGCCTGCAGCTCGCAGGCGCAGGCACTCCGCCACGGGCTTCTGCACTGCGAGTCCCGACTTGGGGGATCTGGCCCCTTGCTCGCTCGCACACGCACCTGGCCAGTCATCGCGAGGAAGGGCAGCAAGCCGGCGTCAGAGCCACCGCCACGCCGGCGCGCGCCGCCGCTCACCGGTCCGCATCGCCGGTCAGCCGCAGGCAAGCTGACGGCTCATCGCTTTGCGCCCGTCCTCTAAGGCCGGCTCGCTGAGGAGCGACCGCCGGGAACGCTCGGGAAGACCGGAGCGGCTCCCGAATAGCGCTCATGCGCGACGCGCAAGGGAAAGCGTGCTGCCGGCGTGCCGTCGGCACGGGGGGCCAGGTGCCTACGCCTCCGCCAGACTTCTGCCGCCTGCCTTGCCCCCAGCGATCAGCCCTCGCGCTTGGCCATCGCAGCACCCAGCGCAAATCGCAGCATCAGCGCCCGCCTGCGGGGCAGGGTGCAGAGAAACGCAGGCCCGTGCCCCGTCACACCTCGCCGACGCCGACGCCGATGCGTGTTGCCCTTGCGTCGAAGATTCAGCTCTTCTTGGCAGGCCAAGCACGCCCACTCGCGTCACCGCACGCCCGCCTCTCGCAAACTCAGCAGATACACAAACGGCTGGCCGCACACCCGGGCTGCCGCATCGTGTGAGCCATCGTGAGATCCCGGGAGCGTTCGAGATTGCTCGATGGCCCCTCGCCACGAGATCGCAGATGTGAAATGAGCGTCGTACGAGTTCTGCGCAGTCTCCCCCATTCCGCGGGGCGCTGAGATGCTCGGTGCTGGGCACTCGGTGTCGCGCTGGCCCACTTGCGTCTCTGTTCGCTCTTCACAGTCGCACGCGGGTCCATCGATTCGATTGCCAGCTGCCAGAGTTGCACCCTTGCCCCGCATCCTTGCCCCCCTGCACCGCGACGAAGAGACTTGCCCTGCCGGCTCGGGCTGCGCTCGCCCGTGACCCTACTCGCTCTCGCTCTCCTCATCCGAGCCGCGCAGATCAATCTCGGGCATCTCCTCATCCTCGTCGTCCAGTTCCGGCTCGACTTGCACCGTCGTCGTGGTCGTCGTGGTCGTTGTCGTCTGGTTCACCACTGGCGCAGGCGCAGCGGGCGTGGCCAGGGCACGGGGACCGAGGGGCGAGCCCATCCGATCTGCCGTTGCGGCGCTGTTGCTGCTAGTCGGCGCGTCAAGCGGCATTTGTCGAGGGCTGCCGCTGCCAGTAGATGGGAAAATCGACCGTGCAGGACTCTTGTGGACTGCATTGTTGCCGCTCGACGCGCGTTCGGGAGAAGCGGCGGGCGAGCCAATGCGAGGCGTATGCGCGCGTACGGGCTTGGTGGGCTCCATGCTGTGCTCGAGGGGCGGTGCGCGGAGGGGCGAGGTGATCGAGTCGCGCGAGGCAGGGAGCGGCTCCGTCGACGTCGACGTTGGAGCGTCGGAGCAGTCGAGCTCCTTGATGCCGAGCACATCCAGCGCCTGCCTCGTGCCATCGCTCGCAAGCTCCACCTTGGTGCTTCCCTCTCCCGCCCATTCCTGCGGCAGCTCCTCGGTCGCCAGCCCCAGCCTAGGAGGCAGACGGGGGTCGAGAATCATCTCCACTGCTCCCTGCAGTGCCGCTCCCGCTCGCTGTACGTCGGCACGTGCATGCCGACTCGCGGCCGCTACGACGAGCGTCGTGCGCGCGAGTAGCAGGGCGAGCAATGCGCCGTCGGAGTCGACGATGAGCGAGGAGAGCGCGGAGAGGAGATGCGTGGCCAAGCCGTTGTCGCAAGGCGAGGAGCGCACAGAGTCCATGCTGAGCGTGGCGAGCGAGAGGAGAAGCAGGGCATGCGTGTGGCGCAGGGAATGATGCGCCGGCGTCAAGTCCGAGCTGAGAAGCGGCGTGAGCGCCGTCAGCACATCCAGCGCCGCTCGACCGCTGGCAACGTCGTCGGGCGAGAGCTGCACGAGTGCCGTGTGCGCTGCAGCGCCGAGGCTGACGGCATCGCTTTCGTACTTCCTCTTCTTGCGTGCCGTAGTCGTGCTTGGGTCGGAAAAGGAGGAGGAAGAGTGCGTGATGAAACGTGCGAGGAGGAGAAGCATTGCGCGAGCGGTAGAGAGCACCAAAGGCGAAGCGGGATCGAGCGGCAGAGCGGCGCCCGCAATACCGCTGCCGATCTGTCCGCGTGCCAAGGCCAGCGCCAGCGTGCGTGTGGCGCTGCAGCGAGTACGCGGCGCCAGGTGCGGCTCTTCGATGAGAGTGACGAGGCAAGAGACGATTGTGGGCGCATGTGGAATCAATGCCTCGCGCGTACTGCACGTCAGCACTGCGGCGAGCAAGCGGAGCGCTGCTTCTTGGGCCCGAGGAAGCATGGCAGATTGGAGCGCGAGGAGCGAGGCGTCTGGCGGAGGCGCGCGAGCTTGAGGAGCAGCACCCAGCGCCAGCAGATCGAGGCTGAGCGCGAGTAGCGTGGCGAGCGGCAGAGCCACGCGAGTGGCACTGCCTTGGGCGAGATAGAGTGGCAGGATGCCTCGAGAGGACGAGGTGCCGAGAAGAAGCTCCAAGCGAGTCAGCGCAAGAGGAACTGCTTCCGCCTCATCCGCAGGCAGTGGCTCGAAGAGTCCCGGGTCGCGAGGCCCGGCCATCTGCTGCGTGGCGCCAAACGTGTTCGTCATCGCAGCGGCACTAATGCGAGCCGCAGCGATCGGCGCTGCAACACCGGCGCTCCACAGTTCTGCAGGTCCACCTGTTGCGCTGCCCTTTCCTTTGGCAGCCGCGCCGGTGCGATGCAGGGCCGCCGCCAGACGCACGACGGCCGCCTGTGCACGCCCGCACAGGCCGGCGCCGTAGAGCAGCGCAGAGACGACGGCGTGCAGACGAGGCGCGTGCGGACGATAGAGCGAGGCGTGGTGGTGGAGCGAGGCGCTGAGGGCATCACAGACGGGCACCTAAAGGAGAGGAGGAGGAGAGTAGTGTCAGTAGTGATGGGCGCGCGCGGCAGAGGGAAGAGGGGCTAGCGCGAGATGTCCGGCCTGCTGTTCTCTCCTCTGCCCATCTATCCCTTTCCTCACGCAGCGGCCCCACTCACCACCAGTCCCGCATCTTCTCCCGCTCTCTCCAGCAGCGCCGTCAGTGCCATGGCAAACCTGGGCGCATTAGGCGCCACGACGGCCCGTCTGTACTCGGGGCGTTGCTCGGCGTGTGCTTCTTGGCCGAGCAGCTGCGCCGCCAGTGCCAGGAGGTGCTGCACGCCGGCCACGCCCGTCGTTGCGCGGCGCGTGCGTGCAGAGGCGCTGCCTTCGCTCAGCGCGAGCAGGGCCGCGACGCATGCGCTGGCCCAGGCGTCGGCGTGCGAGCTGCCGGCATCGGCGCGCAGCAGCTGCGTGGCCAGTGCGGCGCCGGCATGCGGCGGCGCGGCGAGGTGCGCCGCGGCCAGGGTGGCGAGGCGCGTGAGCGAGGCCAGCGCTGCGGCGCCGTCGTCGTCGTCCGAGCCGGCGGCGGCGTGCAGCGAGGCGAGCAGGCGCGTGGCGGCCAGCGAGGCGGCGAGGGCGTGGAGAGAGGCAGCGTCGGAGGGAGGAGGCGTGAGGAGCGCACGCACCTGGCGCACGCACGAGGCGGCCGTGGAGTGCTGTGCGCCGGGGAGGGAGAAGCCTTGGATGGCCATGGCTGCTGTGCTCGTTGGGCGGCGAGGGGGGAGAAGGCAGCGAGCAGCGAGAGCGAAAGGCGCAGGCGAGAAATGCGAGGGCCGCGCGAGAAGGAGGCGCGCCGGCCAACTTTTCGCCAGCTCCGCGGAGGTCCGCTGCGTGGAGAGGCACGGCGTGGGAGCAGGCAAGCTCGGGCCGACGAGGCGCGCGTCCAAGACGCGCTCCGCTCCGCTCCACCACTCTTACTCTTACTCCTACTCCTTATCATCCTCGCATCAGCGCTGCACTTGCGACGCAGCAACAGCCGCCTCAGCACTTGCATTCGCCCTCTCTGCGTGGCACCGCGGCCCGGCTGCTGTCGTGCCATGCGTGCTCGCCAAGCCCGCGCCGTCCTCTCGCGCCTTGGCAGCGGCACGCCCTCGGCGCCGTCGCAGCCGCCGCTGCGCGCACTGGCCACCTCCTCGCCGTCTCTCGCGCCTCAGCCACGCTCCTCCTGGACGACGGCGCCGCGGCATGCCTCGCCCGGCGCCGGCGGCACCTCGGCGGCGCCCAACGAGGACCCCTCGGCGTCGCTGGGCCGCCACTTCTACCTCAACAAGGTCCTCGAGGCCTATGCCGCGCGCCCCGCCACGCGCATGACGCTCCGCCAGCTCGTCTTCTTCGGACGCAGACTGGGCGGCGACAGGGAGAAGATACTGCGTGTGGGTGTCGAGGCAGTGGAGAGAGAGAGAGGCAGGCCTCGCAGTGCCGGCGCTGATGTGCCGATTGCGCCGGACACAGTCGGCCAACTACGTGCGCCAAGAGCTGCCCGTGCGCCTGGCACATCGCATCCGTGATCTGCAGGCGCTGCCCTTCGTCGTCATGACGAACAAGCATCTGGGCGAGGTGTACAACGTGAGTGGGCGCGACGGGGGCAGCGCAGAGGAGAAGTGGAGGCCCAGTGTGCTGATGGGGCGCTGCTGCCCACGGCGGGGCAGAAATACTGGCATGCTTTCGAGACGTGAGTGCTAGTGCTTCCAAGTGTGGCTTGATGCGCTAGACTAGCATGGCTGACTCACGGCCCGCGGCGCCAGCTTCCGACGCTTTCCCCAGATCCGCAGCATGGAAGACAACGAGGCCTTCTGTGCCACGCTCAAGGCTGCGTTGGATGATCAGTGCGTTCGCAACTCTCGCCAGTGTCGCCCCTGCTTCTTCGCTCTGCGCTACGTGCAATCTCCGACTGACAACGCAACTTCCCCCCCCCCCCCCTTCTTCGCACTCGCCTCGCGTTCAACTAGCTTGACCATCATCCCGTCGCTGACGATTGGCATCGTCGAGGCGAGCGCGCACTTGCCGCCGGATCGCTTGGATCGCTTCATGGAGCGCATGCTGAGGAGTCGCATCGGTGAGCTGTGCTGCGGGCGCACGGAGTGAGCGCGCAAATTCGCATCGCTGAACCCGCCCCATCCCCTCTCTTCCCCAGCTCGTCGTGTGCTGGCAGAACAACACATTGCTCTTTCCGAAGCGTGAGCCTCCCACCTGACCCCACCTGACCGTGCTTTGGCACCTTTCTGACCCCCACCTCTCGGGGGCGGGGCAACAAGTCTCGACGACCCCTTTCATTTCTTCAACGACATGGCCTCGGACCCCACGTCGGCCGACGCACCCGCCGCCGCGGCCGGGCCCGGCGAGCACGTGGGCATCATCTACACGCAGCTCTGCGTGTCGGAGGTGGTGCGCAAGGGCGTGCGCCTGCTGCGCGAGATGTTTGCGCGCGAAATGGGCCGCATGCCAAACGACGAATGGATCCCCGAGGTGGCCGTCGATGGCGATTTGGAGGCCAGGTGGGTAGCCCCTCATCCCCTCCCAACACGCGGCTCCTCCACACTCCCCCCCCCCCCCCGGGAGAAGACGCAACAGGCTGACACGAGGGCGCAACGGCACCACGCAGGTTCGCGTACATCCCGGAACATCTCGAGGTGAGAACACACTGCGCTTGCTCTCTCGTGCGCTGCGACTGAGCAACTCCCCCCCCCCCTTTCCCCTGCCCCTTTGCCCGGCGGCTTGCAACCAACAGTACATCATCTTCGAGCTGCTCAAGAATGCAATGTCGGCCGTCATGCGTCGGCCGATGGAGGAGCGCGATGTGATTCGTGAGTTTCTTGCCGTCTCTGCCTCTCTTTCTCTTCTGCTTGCCTTGTGCCGTGGTATCCCCCCCCCCCCCCCCCGCGCGTTCGCGATGCCGTGAGGGCTGATGAGCAATTGCCCAGCAATTCGAGTCACGATTGTCGAGGGCCCGCCGGATGAGGATCTGATCGTAAGGATCTCGGACTGTGAGTAGAGCAATTCTTGCCTCCCCCCCCCTTCCCTTCCTTGCTTTCCCTCACCCCTCCCATCCTTGCCCCGCACCCCTCCCTACCCCATCCATTCGACGTCATCTCATCGCTCTTTCATCAGGTGGCGGCGGGCTTCCCGATCTAGTCGAAGAGATCACCTCACGACAAGAGCAGCTCTCGCTGCCTCCAAAAGCCTCGGCCCACGCGCATCCTCTCCTCGCCGCCGTGTCCGAGGGCCGCGATCCGCCCGCCTACACCGACGACGAGCTGCCCGCCTCCTCTCTCAATCTCGACGGCGTGCTTCCTGCGCGTCAAGGCTCCATCTCCACTTTCTCCTCCTCTTCGTCGTCGTCCTCCTCCTCCTCTGCCTCTCGTCGGCGAAGCTCCTCGCCGCGCGAACGCAAGGCAGACGCCACCGCCGGCGACCAGGCGCTCATCGACGTGCTCACCTCCTTTTCCAGCGTCCGCCGGCGCCTCGAGCTCGAGGAGGAGATGCGCCAGCGCCGCAGACACAAGCAGCAGCCGCCGACGCTGGGCCTGGCGACGAGCGAAAAGTTCCGCATCACCGACACGGGCATTGGCTCGCAGGAGCGGCTGGATGCGTTGAGATCGGTACGAGTGTTCAAAGGTACGCTCCCCTCTTCCCCGCCCCCTTCCCCCCTTTTTCCCCCTCCCCTTCCGGGCCGCTCGATGTGCTCTCTATCATTTGTTTGACTAATTGCCTCTTCCTTCCCATCCAGGCACAGTGGCAGAGCAGCTTTCAGTAGCGACATCTCAAGCCGTGGATGCGACGTCCATCGGCGTCAACACCGCCTCTCGCGTGCAAGAGAAGCAGCCCTCGTGGGTGCCGCGCGGCGACGACGGCACGCCGGCGCATGCCAGTCGTCCCGAGACGGGCCTCGGCCTGCCAATGACGCGCATCTACACGGAGTTCCTCGGCGGACGCTTGAGTCTGCGCTCCGTTGATGGGTAAGTCTGCCCTCCCCCCCCCCTCTTGCCCCTTTCTTTTCTGGCCCCCACCAGCATCCGTCGCTCGGGCAAAGGAGGCAATACGCTGACGCTTATCTCCCTCTTGCGCTCCTCCGCTCGTTGGCAGCGGCGGACTGGACGTCTATCTGCGCCTCCAGAAGCTGGGCGATGAGAAGGAGCGCATCGACGACATTGAAATGTGATTAGTTGGCGATGTCTCTCTCCTCTACCCCTCACTGCTGGTCCGAGCCCGGATCAGAGGCGACTCTCGCGCGCCGGCTTCTTCTGCCAACTTCTCTCGATCGCCAAGCCCACTTGGCGATAGTAGCCCCGCGCCTCCTCTCTCGCCGCCTTCGTCAGGCCCTTGTCCCCTGCGGGCAGCGACGGGGGATCAGCCGGTCTGCAAGAGAGAGATAATGGCCGCCGGCCGCGCGCGTGACTCACAGCCATGCCGTCTTCCCGGCGCGCTGATGAACTCTACATCCTGTCCACCTGCCTCCTGCAGGCGCTTGCACAGGCGCACCGAATCCTCATGCAGAGTGTCCATCGCGCCGCAGATGCAAAGCACCGTGCCCGGGTATCGTTCGGGCGGCGCAAAGAGCACCGAGAGGCGCGGATGCTCCCTGCGCGTGCCTTTGGGCAGGTACGCCAGCGCAAACTGGCGAAAGACCCAGACGAGGGGCTTGAAGGGCTGGCCCTCGGGCGCACGCTTGACGCCGTCGCCGAGCGTAAAGTTGGTGGGCGCGTAGAAGGTGGCGACGGCAGAGATGAGCGAGGGCCCGAGCGAGTTGGAGACGGACAAGGCCAGATTGCCGCCCGCCGAGAAGCCGGTGAGTGCGATGCGCGACGTGTCAAAGCGCTCCGTCTTGCTCAGCACCCCTGTTGCGCAAGCGCGAGAGACCAGCGTGAGCCGCGCGCCCACACGCCGAGGGCAGCAGGGGGTAGAGTGGGAGAGTGGTGGCTGCAGAACACACTCACAGCGCACAGCATCTTCGGCGTCGTTGGGCGCCGCCGGGAAGGGGTGGCTGGGCGCCTTGCGGTAGTCGCAGTCGAGCACGACGCAGTCGAGCTGGCGCGCCAGCTGCGCACAGAAGGCGGCGTCCTGCGTGAGGCCGGGCGTCATGAAGCCACTGCCGTGCCAGTTGAGCACGACGGCCTTGCGCTGGTGCCGCGTGGCGCTGCACTCGTACGCCCACACGCGGATGCGGCGCCCCTTGTCGCGGCTCGGGATGAGGAAGGAGTGCCGCACGACGCCCGAGACGCCATAGGGGATGACGAGCTTGCCGAGCCAGTTGAGCGGCGCGATGAGGGAGCGCAGCACGAGGGCGAAGAGCTGCAGGCGCAGATACTGCAGCGAATAGGCATGCCTGCCGGGCGGCGGCGGCAAGGAGGCGGAGGCGTCGGCCATGGCTTGTGGTGTGCGGGTGACAAGCAGCGGTGCCGGGCGCCTGGCGGTGGGCGGTCAGGGTGCTGATGCTGGCCGGCTGCATGGTCAGGGTGCGCCTCCTTCTCCTTCTCGAGGCGCGGCGCGCGCGTGAAATGCGTGCAACGCTCGAGCCACAGCTTGCGTGACCTCCACATCACTCTTACTGTCACGCCCTGCAGGTGCAGAGCACCCCGCCCACGCACACATCTTCCCTCGCGACCACACGCACCCGCATCCGCCAGCCGCCGCGCCAGCGTCCGCGGCCGCCAGGCTGCCAGCGACGCTGCCGACGCATCCATCTCGCTGCGCATCTGCATCGCCTCGACTGAAGCTCCGCGCCGGGCGCAGGCTGTGCACTAGAGGCGTGTGCGCGACGGGGCGTGTGTGGCACACAGTGCAGCGCACCGCTGGCCAGACTTGCGCAGCTACAGCCAGGCCATTCGGCGCCATGTGGGCTTCCCAGGCGGCGGGCAGTGGCGACGAAGCCTCGTCGCCCGAGTCGGAGCGCATGAGTGACTTCGAGCAGCGCACCGCCGCCGCTGGCAGCAGCAGCTCGCCTCGGCTGCTCGACGTCCGCCGTGCGCCTGCTGCCGGCTACTCTCTCGCGGCCAGCGCGCTCCTGCAGGCGCACTACGCGCTCGATGGCTCGCCGCCTTGGCCGTTTGCTGCGCCGCCGGAAGAGGAGGCGTGGAAGCCAGACGGACAGCAGCAGCTGCCGTGGGTCGATCAGAGACAGCTCCTGCCGTGTGGTCAAGGCACGCCAGTCATGATTGACTGGGAGGCGTTGGCAGGCGCGCTCGAGCAGCTCGTCAAGCCGGCACAGGCATCCAGGCGCCTGGAGGATGTGGTGATCCGGCCTTCCTTCGGTGCGTATCTGGCCTTGATCTTTTCCGGCCCTCCCTGGCACGCCCCTCATTGATGGTCGTTGATGCGTGGCAGACCGCCTCTGCGAGCGTCTGGCGCACGTCGCCTCCTCTGCCGCACCGCGCTCGACGCAGTACAAGCGCTCGCGCACGCGAGCAGCAGCCAAGGCCATCGACAAGTGTGTGCGCCTCTGGGCGCCCTTTCTCAGGCGTGCCGAGGCGGCGCATCCTTCCAACTCGGCGCAGCCCGGCAGCTCGGCCTCACCGCACATCTCGACCTCGCCGAGCCGCCCGACCACGCCGTCAAACGCGATGTCCGATCCGCCATGCGATGCAGACAGCACCATCGGGACATCGCCGCAGCTGGCAGAGCCAGACACGCAGCGCAGTCTGCTCGCCAGCTCAGTCGAACGCATGTGGCTGCAACGCAAGCCTCGTTTCGAGCCTCGCGCAGACGTGCTCGACATTGATGCGCATCTTACTCCACTCGAGGCGCTCTCTCAAGTGCAGCATCTCCTGCAACTGCATCCCAAGCGTATCTTACCAGCAGTCGATGCTCTAGGTGATCTCGACGTAGCAAGCTCGCAGTCTCTGCCGCTGTATGACGGCGCAGAGGGAAGACATCTGTATGTCATGGGCAGCGCGGAACAACGTGCCGTCGGTGAGTGTGTCGTTCGCAAGCCTCCTCGCCTATTGCTCATGAATGCTGGACAGTCATCAACCACGTCGCTCTGCACACGCCGGGGCTCGGCAGCACGACGACATTGATCCTCACGCAGCGCGGCGCTTCCACTCAGTCTGGCAATTGGGCAGAGGCAGGCGTCTTGCCTCCGCCGATGCCCCCCTCGGTGGCATGCTTCGAGAGCGTGGTCAACTTCCGCTACACGGGCTTCGCGGCCTCACCGTTCCGCGGCATTGCACGTGCCATCGCCACGGGCTCGTCGACGTGGATCGACATGGACACCTTCGCCGGCGATGGCCGCCTCGTCGGTCTCGGCTCGGCAGTCGCCAGCAACAGCGAGCGGACGACCTCTGCGCCTACACCATTGCCTCTACCCACACTCGCATCGATGGCAGCTGATGTCGCTGGCCAAGCCGGCGCAAGCAGCTCAGACCTCGCCGGCGTGCTCCCCGAGTCGCTCTTGCGGCACTTTGACTTTGCGCCGTACCCGTGCGTCTCGTGCCATCGCCTCGTCCATGCGCCGCCCACGCGTGCGCCACTCTGGAGTCGCCTGCAGCAAGAGCTGCCCGACGATCGATCCGTCTCGTTCTACTGGGCCTGCAAGCAACTCGAAGGCCTCGACCGCATCGTCGCTGAAGCTCGCAAGTACGGCTACCTTCCGGCATGGACGGACTACCTCTTCGCCGATGCGGCGGCTCGCAAGAGAACGCCTGAAGCCCCACGTTCCGTCGCTGTCGGCGGACGTGGGCCTTGGATTCAGGGCTTGCCGGACTGCGAATGGCGCTTCTGCATGGCATGCGCTGGTCTCCATATCCGGCAGGCCGGCAGCGAGACGTGCGGCTGTCTCATGTGCAGTCCAATGACGCAGCAACGCCCGCCTCGCTACACTGTCTCAAAGACGTGGAGGCGCCACGTCCTCGACCGGCCCAAGCTCAAGTTCTGAATGCAGAGACGTTCACGCATCACGGCAGGCGTGACGAGGCGGAGACGGCGGCTCACGTGCTTCGCTGCAGAGAGCTGAGGTGCGACGAGAGCCATGCTCAGGGTGACGAGAGGTGACATTGTGCCCCGAGCACAATCAGCTTTGCGCAAGGTCAGCGCGCAGCATGTCGAGCACGAGGACATCTACCGCCGAAAAGACATGGGGGCCTGCCTGTGCCTGAGCATCGTTGAGCGCAGCCGACACGGCGGCGCCAATGTCGGTCGTGTAGGCCGGATCCAGATCCGCCAGCGCGCCGGCGCGCGCCGAGCCAGGCGCCGTGTCTTCTAGCTCATCGCCTTCGTCGTCGGAGAGCGCCACGATCGGCGGCGAAGTGGAGCGAGATTTGTTGCTGCGAACACGCAGCGTTAGCTGCTGCTTGCTCGTGCCGCTCTGCTGCGCCCTCTTCGCTCGCACTCACCCGGTGCGCGGCTCGTGCTTGAACTCGCTCATGGCGTCCGACCACAGCGCGACCATGGCGGGCACGGCCTCGAACACCTCCGCATCCTCACCTGCCCGCGCGGCGCGCAGCATCGCCGCCAGGCCCAGACAGGTAATCTTGCGCCGGCGTGCCGAGGCCATGTTCTCGAAGCGGTCGCACCACTCCTGCACCAGCGGCATGATCACGCCTCGGCCGACGTCGGCTGGCTGATGGCCCAGCTTTGGGCCGGCGGAGCGGAGAAGCGCGATGAAGGAGCGCTCGGGGGACTGCACGGCCATGCGCGCCAGCAGTGCAACGATGTGGCCTGCGATGACAGGCGACTCCTGCAAAGGGCTAGGTCAACAGCCAGGCTGGGCTCGGGCGGCAACAGCGTCACGCACCTTGACCTGTAGCAGAGTGCCAACGAGCAGCGCAAAGACGTTGCTGGCGTCTGCAAGCTGCGGCCAATAGCTGCCGGCCGCGCCATGCGCAGACAGAGACTGCAACAGACTGTCGAGGGCGCTGACGGGGCACAGAATGGCGGGATTGAGCGGGTCGGAGAGGATGCTGGCAAACGCGGCAAAGAGGCCCGTGCCGTGATGCTGCGCCCTCGCGTCAGCTCCCATCGCAGCCCGTCGCTACGAGAGGCACTCACAGTGCACAGCTCGGCAGGACACAGCAGTGCATACTCGGTGCAGGCGCGAGACGCCTCGGCGCAAAAGTCGGGCTGCTCCAGCAGCGTCGGCAGCAGCTCGAGCAGGCCGAACAGAGCCGGTGTCATCTGTGGCGCAGAGTGCAGCGCACGGATCCAGAGCAGCAGCGCGTCCTTGCCGATCATGGGCGAAGCGGCCTGAAGCGGGGCATCAGCAGAGGCAACGACTTCACTCGCCTGCCCGGCCACTTACCTGATCGGTCAAGCTGTAGCGCACAAGCGGCTCCACCACGGCGTGCAATCTCACCGCAGGCCCGTTCTCCGAATAGGGCACGAGCTGAATGGCATGCAGCATCTTGCCGACAAAGGAGAGGATGCTGCTTTTGGAGAGGAACTGCGGATCGTCGTAGGCCCAGAGTGCAGGCACGAGCCCAACGAGAGTCTCGACGTAAGGGGTGATGCGTGCGCCCAGGCGTTCTGTCAGCACGCTCAGCGAGTTGGTGCAGGTGCGGATGGAGTCAACGGCTTGCAGATCGGACGCGGCGACCAGACGAGCGAGTCCGCCGAGCGCCGCCTCAATGTGTGGCTCAAATGTGTCGGCGTCGAACTCGAGCGAGTCGGCCAGTGCGCCCAACGAGCGCGCGGCCTCCAGGCGCACCGCGAGATCCGTGATGCCTGCGTGATCCTCCAGCAGCGACACGAGCGCCGCGTACACTGCCGAACGGTGCGCCGTCGTGACGAGCTCGGACCACTCCCAGAAGAGCCACGCCACGCGCCGACGCACAATGACCCAGCTACTGCCGCTCTCGGGCCCCAGCATGGCCTCGCGCGCCAGACGCTCGCCGCAGCGCTGCCCGATGAGCGCGCGCGCATCTTCGGAGAGGTACTCGCGGCAGCGTCCCACGGCGGCGTAGACGGCGTCTCGCTGCAGCACAGCATCGATGTCCGCGATTGGCAGTCCGGCCGCACTCTCGAAGCGCGTCCAGAGTAGCTCGCCGACCAGGTGCGGTGGCTGACTGTAGCGCGCAGCGAGCATCAATAGCCGCTCTGCGGCGGGCCGGATGTCGATGTCGATGGCCTCGCTCTGCTCCTCCTTGACAAAGTCCTCCGGATCCGCCTCCCATCGAGCCAGATCGTCCGGCGTCAGGCGCATCAGCCGCCCCACCAGCACCTCGACGACCTCGGTGAAGAAGTCGCGAGAGTTGAAGGGCGCAGGCGGGCTTTGCTTCCAGCCGTTGAGGCTCATCTTCATCAGCACCAGCGCTTGCACGACGAAGCGTGGCGGCTGATCAAGCGTAAAGGCCTCGACGGAGGTGGCCGAGTCGCGCGCGACGCTCGTCGTGTCGCTAGGCGCGGAGCGCGCGGTGGCCCAGTACCAACCGGCGACGTCGGACCAGCCACTCCAGCGGCTGGCCTGAGACCGGTCCCGGCCGATGAGCGCCACGAAGAGCTTGCCGAACGCCAGCACGTGCTTTGTCAGGTTGGCGAGGAGCGGCAGGTGCGTCTGCTGCTCGGCGGCCGACGCTCTGCGGAAGAGGCGTAGGTAGGCGAGACGCGTGTTGCTGAGGCAGGACAGCGCAGCGGGAGCAGCGGCAAAGACCTGCATCGCTTGGTTCTGCGACGCGCCGCCCTCAGAGGAGCCCTGTGTCGTGAGCAGGCCGGGATCGGCGAGCACGAGATGCATCACGGCGCGCAGCAGCAGCTGGCTTGTCCTGACGCGGTCTGCAAGCGCAGGTGTCGATGCCCAGCCAGCCAGATCCGCCTCCGACATCGAGTCGGGCGACGACGGAAACGTCTCGACGAAGAAGCGCTGGAACACGTAGTGCAGCTGCGGCAGAAATGCCTTTGCCAGCTGTGTGACAGGGATTCAGCGAAGCGCTGGGGTAGACGAGAGCTGCTTGCCTGACCTCGGTCATGCGGATCTTGCCGGCCAGCAGCCTGACGGTGCCGAGCTCCTTGAGCACGCGCTGCAGCACATCGGCCCCGCGCAGCAGTCTCAGGCGTGCCTGGTCGCGCTCCGCTTCCTGCGCAGAGCTCGACTGCACCGCATGCGCCTCGGACAGCGAGCGCGTCAGCTCGTCGAAGAGCGTCGGCCATGCAGTCGGATAGTCGTAGCGCGCGATGCGCGTGATGGCAATCGACGTCTGCAGAGCGATCTGCGACACACCTAGATCAGCTCAAGGCTGACACCGCGCGCAGCTCGCGGCTCACCGTCTTGTTGTGCTCGTCGAGGCAGGCCCAGAGGCGGGTCCGCAGGCGCGCCTTCTCCTCTGCTGCAATCGTGCTGCGAGAATCTCAGGACCGCACGTGCACTGCGCTGGCGCATGCGTCACTCACACATGACCGCGACTGGAGGAGGCATGAGGAGCAGTCAGTCTCAGCTCAGCAACGGGCTCGAGGCATCGTCGACGTGACGCCCAGCTCAGCGCGACGCTCAACGCACCCGGCGACGCGGCTCCTCCAGTGCTTGTCGATGCCATTCTTGAAGCGAATGATGGCCATGCTGCGCACGGCAGTGCGTCTTGCACTCTCCTCGCTGCCGTCGTGGGCTAGCACGGCGGCATCGAGGGGCAGCTGTGCGTCAAAGGCCATGTCGAGCAGGCGCGCCCAGAGCGTGGGCTCCGCATTCTCCCACTGCTCCAGCTGCGCGTTGGCCATGGAGAGGCGCCGTGCATCGGGCGCCGTGGCGTGCAGCAGCACGAGCGTCAGCTCTGCGGCGGAGAGCGTCGCCATGATGCCGGCGGCCCTTGTCGCGCGGGCAAGAGGCCAGCCTCGTGCCTGGGCGAGCGCGGCGCGAGAGACGACGGCGCTGGGGCGGCGATGCGCTGTGTCTCTTTGGCGTGGCGAAGCTGTCGGCGAGAAGGGGTATTTGATGCTGAGAGGCGGAATGAGGTGAGAAGAGAGGCACGGAGCAGGCAAGTGCTCGAAGTGGAGCAGCCGCGCAGCGCACGGGCGGCGCACGTGACAAAGTGACACTTGCAGCGCCGCCGCGTGGGAGCAGCGAGCACTCTACGCGACGCGTGAAGGCGCGGCGGCGGCCGTGCGGCGCGCGGCGTGTTGGACAGCGGCGAAGCGCGAAGCACATCCGATGCTCTGACCGCCATCCTCCTCCAGCTTCGCTAGCCCGCATTCTCGCCACGCCTTGTGCATCTGCCTCCCGCAGCACCGCACGGCATCCCGGAGCTCTGCGCGGCCATGTCCGCCGAGCTGGCGTCGCTCTTTGGGCTGCCGGCGCACTCTGCACACGTCGCCACGCTGGCGCGTCTGCTCGCCACCTATCCGCAGCAGGTGCCCACGGCGCAGGACCTCTTCTACAAGTACGAGGCGCAGCTCATCTCCAACGCCCAGCCACGCGATGCCGATGCACCCCAGGCGCTGGACCGCGATGCCCTCGACCTGCTCGAGGCGGGCCTGCGCGAGGAGCAGCGCAAGAGCGAGCGCGACGTCGCCATGACGCCGATGCGCGCCGCGGGGCGCAGCCATGGGTGAGTGTGCGCATCGCCGTGAGCGCCCCGCCCAGACTGACGGCTGGCGGCAGCTTCGCCGCCACACCGCGCACCCCCATGGGCGCGCCCTTTGGCCGGGGCAGTGCCGCCTCGGGCGCCGCCTCAGGCTCGGCATTGCGGCCGAGCTCTGCCGCAGCGGCCGCTTCTGCGCCTGCGACGCCCGCCACGCCTGCAACGCCTGCACCGGATCGCGCGCCCTTCACCACGCTCGAGGTGCTCAATGCACACATCGCTAAGGCGCCGCCGGGTGCCGAGCGGCCGGGCGCGCAGCGCGTGGCACTGGCGGTCGGCACCGACCCGCGCGCGTGGGGCTATCGCTACATGTTTGAGCGCATGGGAGGCAAGGGCGAAGGTGCGTCGTGCCGCTGCTCTGCGCCCTTGGCCCGTCTCGCTGACGCCCGAGTGCAGCGCTCGACGACCGTATCGATGCCCTCTCTGCCGCGCTGCTCGAGGCGTATTCCCTGCCGTCTGCCGACATCGCAGACGCCAGTCTGCCGACACAAGACGCCGTCTACGTGCTCGGCCGACTCTGTCCCTCTCTGCCGCGTGCCGTTGCCGGCGTCGAAGAGGACTTCGAGTCCGACGGGCGCGGCTATCCCGCGCTGAGCCGGGAGAACATTGTCCTCGAGAGCTCGCGGCTCGTCGGCGCCGGCAGTCGCACGCCCCTCGTCTTTCCCGAACGCACCACGGTGCGCACGCCGGAAGGGCGCGTGGCCTTTGAGCGCGCCGGCCTCTTTCCCGGCATGGTCGTGGGCCTGCTGGGCAAGAACGGCGGTGCGGGCAAGTTTGTCGTCGACGAGGTGCTGCTCGTGAGTGCAGGCTCGTGCGGGCGTGGCGAACTGCTGCCGCTGATGCCCGCGAATCTCCAGCCTCCGGCATTGCCGCACGCTAGCACCGACGCGGCCGATCTCTTGACGCATCAACATGACGCTGCTCGCCTGGCTTCAGGTCCCATGTCGCTGCTAGTCGCCTCCGGGCCCTACTCTGCCGAGTCAGATCTTGCCTTCGGGCCGTGGCATCGACTGATGGATGCCGTCGAGGAAGAGCGTCCAGACGTCTTCCTCCTCCTGGGGCCCTTTCTCTCGCTCTCCCATCCTGCGCTCCTGGCACCCGGACAGGATCTGCTGCCAGAGGAAATCTTCAAGGCACACATCTCCGAGCGACTTGCGAGACTGGAGAAGACGGCACCTAGAACTACGGTCATTCTCGTGCCGAGCACCAAAGACGCCGCTTCGAAGCACGCGGCCTGGCCTCAGCCGATGCTGGACAAGAAAGACGCGGCGCTCGGCATTCCAAAGGTGCGGATCCGGTCTGCTTTCCTGGTTTCACCGTCGCTGCAGTTTGCCTGACCGCGCTTCCCTGCACAAGCGAGTCAAGTGTCTCCCCAACCCAAGCATGTTCTCCGTCAACGAAATCGTCATTGGCGTGACGACGGGCGATGTGCTGCGCGACCTTGGCAAGGAAGAGACGTGCATCGACGTGCGCAAGCCTTATGCCGCGGCCGAGGCTGCTGGTGGCGGTGCTGCTGCTGCTGCAACGGTGCAGAAGGAAGATCCGCTCGCCAGGGCCTGCAGACATGTGCTGAGCCAACGCAGGTGAGTTTGGCATCGGGGAAGGGGGGG